GGTCCGTCAACGTCGGAACGTTGTTCAGCCACGCGGTGTCCCGCACATCGAGCCAATCAACGCGTGATGATTGACTAGCGTCATTCGGGGAAAAGTCTCGCGTCTGCAACCCTTTCGCTGATCTCGCTCGCTTCTTTGATAACTCTGTCGATCGTTGTGTGCCCAACCTCATACCCGGAGGACATGCCCAAGTTCGCCTCTCCTGGTCTTTTCGTTCCAGCCGCGATAGATCTCCTCGCCGATACCGAAGGTGGGTACCCTGGTCGCGAATCATTCAGGAACTATATCTTGCTATTGGATGGCTGGGGTATCGGACGCGTGAAGAAACAGTCGCGTCGCATTACACTGCACTACAAATTCTGTCACTTACGTTGACCGTCTGTTAGCGTTCTGTGAACTTTTCTCACGCATGGCGGCCTGACAACTGAGTAAGTCACTCAATGGCAAGAGTGCGAGCCGAGGTACTACAGTGGACTGAAAACATTAACTCTACCTTGCTGGTTGTCAGTATCTAGATATGTTACAATCCAGCAATATCAGCTTGCTCTCTCACCATACGAGTTGGCCTCTCCGCATACTTTGGCTTGACCTAGCTCTCAATCTGCTTATCGACAGTATGTATAAGAACTTCGCCTGGGACCCTTACCTTTCGGTATTGCTATAGCACAGTCGGCGATATTCGGCAATGCGCAAGTGTTACAGAGCCTCCTTACATCTCGTATTGGGCTCAACATGCTGCAAGCCATGGTCTTGTCGCAGGCAATCAGGCCTCCTTCATGGATTGTCCGAATGAGCGGAGTCCTCGGGTGTTGAGGAATCGCAACGCAATATTGGGTCTGCAGTGCTGCAAAATGTAGACGCTTCGTATCGTTTCGGACCATCGCGTGACTTTTCGGCGGGGTACATAGCGACCGAATCTAGATGCCGAAGGCATGGTGCCCTATACGGATGTGAGAGGCAATGTTGTTGGTTCACAACGTAGTGTGGGGTCTTGAAACGCAGTTATCAGGGTACGTGAGATGGACAATTATGACATGCGCTGTACGATGCATCTTGTCAGGAGAGACATGCAACATTATTGCCACAATACCGCCGTCACACCATCCACATTCGATTGTTTCGGGGCTTGGATGGAATAATTGGGAAAAAAATCCCGAACTTTGGAGATGAGAGACCATGCAGTATATTGCAGCCAGCGTCATGTTCGGTTTAGACCTTTGCCCATAAGTAATCATCGACGAGTAGAGTTCCGTGGGTTCGTTCATCGCTGGCCAAAGTTTCGACTATCTCCAGTTGAGCACGCGTGTATATGCGTAAATTCGTAAACACTCATTGTGTTCGAGCTGCAGATTTTGTAGAAGAGTACACAGATGCGGAACGCGGTGACAAGAGTTAAAGTTTTCTGGTTCTGGAAGTGACCATCGTTCCCATGATAGAAATCTGGAACGACGATGGCGATTTGGACTTGGAACAGTGGGTGAAAGCAAACGTTCTGGCTTCTCTTGTTAGCAACCGCTAGATACTAAGGACTGTCTTCGTACGCTCTTTGCGTTATTGACTGCGCATCGCAATCGTTCCAGAGGAATTGCTGGGCAGCTAGTAACTGGCGGGATGAATAAGCCGTGCCGCAATTTTAGCCATGCGCCAGTTGTCGGCCCCATAGCTCCGGTCGCCACCTCCATGAGCACCTCGGCGCCTGGCTCTCGCGCAGATTACTTCTGCTGTGGCAAGTTCAAGTCCATCAGTATCGTGTCGTAGATTCGAAAAACGCTCAGTATCACAAAGGGAGGAAATTGGTGCGGCGCCGGTTAAATGGCTAAAGTCCAACCTTTTGTCATGGGGGCGGGACGCCCACACGTTATCCTTCACGCTAAAATAGGAAACGATAGATCGTGGCTTTACGGGTGGGCTAAATCTACAAGGCTTCTCTCGTCGTCATTCATCGAGGGTTGCGAGATCTGCCGGTGAATGGAGGTTGGGGATAGAGACTGCGATATGGTTCCAGTAGCTGGCAGACACTGTCGCAATAAAAGGGCTGTTGGCTTGACGTGGAGAAGACGCGCGATATATTGTTGTGCATGTTGATCGCTGTTCACAATGTCGTGGGTCGCGTCAATCAACCACGGGCGTGGACCCTGAACGGCCCGGCAACCAGGCACTTCCCCTCACTTTTCGCCATCACTCCTTCGATCAACATCAACACCATCATCAACACCATCGACTCCTCGGATGGATGGAGTGGGCGCTTGAGGCTGAGCGCAATTTCATATTACCCGGCTAGCTTCCATGGACGCAGCTATACCTGCATCCACGTTCACGACATGAGTGGGACCTGCATCTCACGTGCTTCCTCACCCCGGATGTGCATTTCGCTTAGGCAATGGACAGCGGCGCCCAGAACGTCTACCCCAGAAGCAGGAGCTGGCCCCGATGATCCCGAGGTCCAAGCCGGTTGATTTGTGGATTAGTCTGGAGAAACTCCGCAACCTGCAAGCAGGTGGCGCCATGCAGCCAGGTCAAAGGACTCGCAGCAACGAAAGGCAGGTTTGCACACGAGCCACGAGCCCGGTTAAACAAAAAGACTGGGGTGAAGACGAACCGCGAGAGCGGATAGATAGATTGAGCATGCATACGCTAGAGTTCTAGAATAACCGCAGAAGAATATATAGCATAGCAGGCCAGTCCATTGTTCAAAGGTATCCGTGGCAGACAACTTCGAATCAGTCAACACTCTCGAAGTCTCAATCAACATGCGTTTCTCCAGTATCGTCGCCAGCCTGGCGCTTGCCGGCTCTGCCGTTGCCAGCCCGTAAGCAGCTCGTGTTTCAGTCATAGCGACGACTCGCTAATATCTACATAGTACCTACGGCCATGGTAAGGACAATGACAGTCTTTACAAGTCCATGAAGAAGGCAGGACGAAGCTTCATCGGTACCGCTCTAACTCTCCGCAACGAGACTCGTGAGGGCGAAATTATCAAGGCCGACTTCAACTCCTTCACTCCCGAGAACGCAATGAAGTGGGAATCTGTCGAACCGTCCCGCAACAACTTCACTTTCGAGGACGCCGACCGATATGCGGCATACGCCAAGAAAAACAACCTCCAGGTCCATTGCCACACCCTGGTATGGCACTCTCAGCTGCCACCCTGGGTATCTGAGGGCGGATTTGACAACAAGACCCTCATCGGCATCATGGAGAACCACATCAAGACCGTTATGACCCGCTACAAGAGCGTCTGCACACGCTGGGACGTAGTTAACGAGGCTCTGAACGAGAACGGTACATACCGCTCTAGCGTCTGGTACGACACCATCGGCGAGGCCTTCCTTCCCATTGCTTTCCGCTTCGCCAACAAGTACCGCGGCAAGGCCGAGCTTTTCTACAACGACTACAACCTTGAGTACAACGCGGAGAAGACCCAGGGTGCCCAACGTATCGTCAAGCTCATCAAGTCCTACGGCGTTCGCATCGACGGTGTTGGCTACCAGGCTCATCTTGCTAGCGAGGCCACTCCCACTGCTCCTGGAGCCGCTCCCGACCAAAAGACTCTCGAGGCTGCTCTTCGCGCGACTGCTGATCTTGGCGTCGACGTTGTCTACACCGAGATTGACCTCCGCATGAACACTCCTGCTACTGCCGAGAAGCTCAAGGTTCAGGCTGATGCTTTCGAGCGCGTTGCCAAGTCTTGCTTGGCTGTTAAGCGATGCATTGGTATGACTGTCTGGGGTATCTCCGACAAGTACTCTTGGATTCCTGGTGTCTTCAAGGGCGAGGGTGCTGCCCTTCTCTGGGATGACAACTACGAGAAGAAGCCTGCGTACAAGGGCTTCCTCAAGGGTATCCAGAGCAAGAAGCATTAGACGGGTGTTGGGAACGATGTAATTATCATGTAGATATTGAGTAATCTGTACATTGTATCAAGACTCGGGTTTACCATCTCTGGTGACTAACACGCTCTCACATTATGCTTTTCATCTCCGTCAAATGCTCACGTCCACGCGGAATCATGTTGTTTGGAAACTCCTCTTCTACATTACATCATCACAGCGTCGACTTCAATTACTACACAACGTTCGCATCTACTGAGTACATTCAGTCGTCGCCTGAGTATGCCTTGCCATCTAGACAAGGGATAAACTGGCTGTCGTTAGAGTAGATATCACCATCAGCTGATTACATGATCATCTCATTGTCAACTGAGTAAGTCCCGTCATTGTCGGTAGTAACTACGTTCGCCACCTAAGCTTCGACCGTTCTACTGTACGATTCGCTCGAGGTTTGAGTTCGGCGCTGCATCAGCTTCCGGGTATCTCCACAACTCTCCTTTGGTACAATCTTCTCCGTCGTCTGGACATCCGAATCATCCGTTCAGCTTTTCCACACTGTGCCAATCATATTCAAGATCGTCTCGTATGGCGGTATTCTGATATGGTCGCCTAGGATGGTTCTTGCGCAGCAAGCCATGACCATTTGGCTATCGATTCAGATGGTATGTTCACGTAGTTTACTCGAAGCAACGATGAGTTTGTAGGTGGTGCTACCCAGCATGACATCGAGGAGGTGCCGGGTGTAAAGAGGCTTTCCAAATAGTCTGCTTGGTAGGCGTGGGGGTGATTACAAGAATACGCGACATCTCTGGCCTCTTATGATAGCTGATAGTTGTGTTAAGAATCTCAGTTATCGTCTAACATGTTGAGTTCTGTCGTCAATAAAATGGTGAAGAGGACCAAGTTACCAAAGATGACACGCGTGGGTTTGTAAAGACAGGCAAGGTGAGTAATTGTATGAGAGACCCACATCGATTTACAACTACGTAAGTAGACCATGGGTTTAGTGACGCCATCAGGATTGACGTATAAGAAGCTACATACGCTGGAATTCTCTGCTGTGCTCATGACATCCGGCCAACTATTGACCCAATATTACTAAGCCGCCTCGCAACCTGAAAACGATCCGATCATGCGAGATTTGCTTGTAAACTTCGTACTCCAAGCAGTCTAGAGGCTAGCCAGGCTACCAAAGAAGGTTTCGGAGACTTCCTTGATAAGGCGTTGACTATCGCCAGGATTCCCCCACTCAAAAGCATCCATGGCTCTGTACTCTGCTCGAAACTCGTTGGCGTGGACGAACGTACGAACCACGCTATCCATGAATCTCAGAAGGTCCAACTTGCCTTTAGCGAAGTTCTCTTCGTCTGTCGCAACCATTTGGGACAGACTGAAGCCAGATGTAGCCTGCCAGTCGTTCTTGACCTTATTAGCAAGATAGTCTGCTATCTTTCCAACCACACCGCTGCTCATAGACGGATATCCAGAGAGGCCACCAATCTTCTTGAGGAAGGCTTTGTTTGTACCGAATGGATAAACCTGGTCGACCTGTTTCATGAAACGAGTCTGATACTCTTGCCATGACCACAATGCCTGATGGATACCGTATTGTGCGCCGCTGATGTCTATGACCCATGCCTTCTTGGTCTTAATCGATGTAACGCGAATGATTTCGTGATGGTATCTTGGGTAGTTGCAGTCTCCTTGGCCGTTGTCGTAGTGGAGGATGACCTTGTGAGGAGGTAATTTGAGATCTACGCTGACTTCCTCAACCTTGACGGCCAGACCTACAGTGGGTCAGTGATATATTATGCGATCAGTCTAGTAGATCTCACCTCTCAAGAGTTCTTCAATGATGCTGTACATCCAAGCCGGAGGATCGTTGCATACATTCACACAGAGCATAGCGTTTCCAGTTCGCTTGTCGGTGGCGAGATGCTGGGGAAATTGGAGGAAGTACTTTGCGTTGATACCGTGAATTCGATCAGCTTCGTGTAATACCAGATCATCATTCCGAAGACGTTCGACCTTGACGATGCGCCTGTCCCAGGTGTTCTTGCGGAAGTCGTAATAGCCTTGTTGAAGGATCGCAGCGACGCGAGTAAGCTTCTTCTCAAGCTGGATATCCTTGCAAGTCTCTTTGTGAGCCGGCCAATCATTAACTTGACAGGCCTTGCCGCAGTAGTGAGGCGATGAGGTATCCGGATTGCAAGCACCGCACTTATTGTGAGCGGGCTCGCGACACACGACGCATGCTGCTTCTGCTCCTGTCGCCATGGTTGGGGGTTTGTCTGTGAGAGCAAGATGTATGGGTAAGTCATAATGGCAATGTGTGTAAGTGTGCGCGTTCCTATTGTAGCGAGTAGCGTAGGTGAAGGCGGGCGATGTTTGTTCCGGTCGTACGTGACAACGAGGTGAAGGTGAGTCGGGAGGTGCAAAACACCCAAAATGGAAGCTAAAGTCATTAGGTTACATGACGTAGAAAGGTCACTATGAGAGACTTTCGTGGACTGTCTCGAGAATTGAGGTGCGAATGCAAATGGTGATAAGCAGTGTAGATTGACTAGAAGATGTTACAAGTTATGTCAAGTCTTTCCCAATTAGACCATGCAATCTACACCTTACCTACCCCAAGTTCGTCGACCTTATTGCCGCCAGCACAAGATCCAGTTACGGGCCGCTGAATTGATTCCTCAGCTGCAATAAGTATTGAGCTGCATCAGTCTCAGGGACTGAATTATCTGCACGCTCCGCCGCCGTTCTTACGTCGACGAAGATGTGGCGGTGAGCCACTTCTTGTATCATGCCCTCACAAACAATTTGGTCAGTTTCGCGATGCACGGCATGCAGATACTGTCCTGGATCGTAACGTGCGACGTATCCACGTACAGCCTGAGTCAACACATTCCTCAAAGATTGTTTTCAAGCAGAGGAAACTATGCCGGGTCTACGAACGATACTTGCCAGAGCGCTGCCGGGCTGCCGCAGAAAATTGGAGAGTACTTTTCGCATGAGCCACGCAATGGTCAAGTCAATTTGTGTCAAAAACGAATTGGATCTCTGGATTCTGGCGCAAGCCTCCTCGAGTTCTCTGCACCTTCCCACGTTGAAAACTCGGCAAAGCCTCTTGAGGTGAACCGATTCGAATTCTGCAGCCGGGAAGATGTTTTGCGTAAGTCTGAAATCGGCGCCAGACGGATTCATGTACCAACGCTTACCACTCCGCCTGTGAGTGATTCTTAAAAGCATGAACCTGTGAAAAGGCCAGTTCGATTTTCTTGTCTCGTTTGTATGCACAAAATTAGCGGTTTGCATTGGGTCTTTCAGCTCGACCTGAACTTCATGGAGATGAAATTCGCTTTCTAGGATAGTATTAGAACAACGGTTGATTGCAAGGGGTTGTGAATAGACTCACGCTTGATAAGCGGTGAAATCAAGGATTCCGTCAACACTAATGGCATAAAAGGATACCGAAAGCACATGAGCGCATGTTTAGCGACCTGATCTGGGAACCGGATATCTGAAAGATCTGAAAACAAAGTTTTCGTAGCGGTACCGTCCTCGTAGGCTACGACCTTCTGGTCCTCTAGCTCAACCTTTGATATTGGAATTGGCCAAGTATATTCCTTCAATGTAAGCCAGGCTTGTTGGACGACTTCAGCGGCCATCGTAAGAGAAGTTTCGAGTTGAGCAATTTCGCAATACTCCTTATGGTTGTCCAAATCCGCCCGTCGGTGGTCTCCGTTGCAGTAGACATGCGTTTTACATCCAAAACAAATCGTAGTCGCTGGTTTCTGGCAATGAGAGCATCTTTTCTCGTCCATGATGAGGGTATGTGGAGTGCTACGAGGGTTGGAACGGAGAACAGGAATGGGATGCGATGGATGTTTGAGCGCTGAAGAAGAAGGATGAACAAGGGAACCTGTCTTTGTGATTTATACTATTACCGTAGCAATCATTCGCACAAGCCGGCCAGCAGCTGACAGGACTATGGTCATTGTGAAGGTGCAGCAAACGAGTGTCAAACAAGGTGCCTTTCTGTGATACCGGATACACAATATTCAGCTGTATAGGGTATATGGCTCTATCAGACTACAGACGAGTCGGAATCAAGCCACAATAGTGCTTGAAGCCCTTTTGTGCCCATGATGGAGTCGGCCCGGGCCGGAACAGGCTAGATCTAGAAATGTCAACTTCGTGGTAGTTGGTGAGGTCATAAGATGACCGTGTCAAATTCTTTTCATCAAAATCCGATATGGTCTAGTGGCTAGGATTTGCCGCTCTCATTAGCAGAGTCAGTTCACTGTACAGTGCCGGCAAGGCCCGGGTTCGATTCCCGGTGTCGGAAAATGTTCTTTTTGTTCTTTTTGGTCTTTCTGCATCAGTCCAGACGTGTAGGTATTTCGACGGTATACTCCTGCAGTGAATTTTTGTTAGCGCGGTGCAGCGGTTCCCGAAGTACCCCGACAAACCTACACGTCCCCGATCGGGGTACCCCAGCCGCTGACTCCAAAGTCTTGCCATGGCGAGCACACTGCGAAGGCATTGTTTCGCGCATAGGCAGGCGCAAGATTATGTAGCCGTCGCTTATAAGTCTGCAGGCTTTCGAGTTCGCACCCGCCGACTTGAGGGGCGTGGCCACGAGTGGCTGTACATGGTCAGCGGGAGCTGGTGCACCGCCAGAAGTGTATCTCGACCACCTTTTCTCGCCAATGCAGAACATCGTCATGCGGACGTGACAAAAACAAATAAGAGCACGGATTGTTCGAAAACTTGACATGTTTAATGATGATGTACCTGGTTAGTGGACCGAGGCGGGCTGTGAGCTTCACATGACGATCAGGCACGGGGCAAGGATTTTGGCGCAATTCGCTAGCTCCTACGTCATCGTTCTCCGCAACCCAGCAACATAACACGACCTCTTCTCCGACCTCACACCACCATCACAGCAATTGATAACTCAATTCCACAAGTCCTTACTACTACCTTTAAACCCACTTCACATACTCCAATTACCTCAAATCTTATCACAATGGGTTGGTTCAGCTCCGACGAGAAGTCCGCTGCGGCTACGCACCCCGTCAACCTCGACGTCACCACAAAACACGGTTCCGCAGCTGAGCAAGATCGTTACGGCCAGCACTTCGGCGCCTCAACCGATGCCATCCGCCGCGGTGTCGACAAGGGCCTCGACAAGCTGCAACGAGCTGCCCTGGCCAAGGGCGAGGGTGCCGAGCAAGACCGCTACAGCGAACATTTGAGCATCGGTGATCGTGGCTACAACGCCATGAAGGACGCTGCCAAGTACAAGGGTGACGGCGCCGAGCAGGACCGGTACAACGCACACTTCAGCCCGGCCTTGCACAGCATCGACGCTGCCAAGGCAGTACAGGCTGCGGGAAGCGTGGCTGCAAACGGAGAGAAGAACGCCAAGTACTTTGGTCTTGGCTACGATGGTCAGCAAAGGGCGAAGCTGTTGGCTGGTGGCGGAATGGGTGCAGAGCAGGTAAGCTGGTAAATCCGTGCTGTCATGACGGCGATACTAACACCATTGCAGGACCGCCTTGGCTCGCATTTCCACTTGACCAGGGACGCCGTCGCCGATGCCGCCCAAAGATTGAAGGATGGTGCGAAGGATGTTCTCCCCAGGCGATAGACGAATAGCTGCTCGATGCAAACATGACCGCAACGACGACTTTGGCGAAGACTGCAACGGCCGTATATGTGTACAACACATTGTATTTTCACAATGTACAAGTAAAAAAGAATAATTTATTGTGTCGAACTTGTTGATCTTGTCTATCTACAAGTCGTGTGCGAGCTGCTCGTGCAACATTCGGCGTCCATGAAGTGACGATGGAAGATGGACCGCCCATGGTTAATGCTAATAATGAAAGCAGTCTATCGCGGACATACTCAGGAATAGTGTTGCTGCACACTGTCGCACTGTCAATGCATTATGGCTCACGATGCGTCGTGCTTGGTAGCAATGGCTGAGCAGTGCCTAGCATTTAAGGGAAACCAAGACACCATACGCCTAGCTGATGTATGCACGACCTTCACAACCACCACGGAAGGCTCGATCATGAAACATCACAATAATCGTCTGCAAGCATAGTATCGATAATACATCTTTGCCGCTCATTCGTCACGCCTTACGTACCCCACATCTGCCGATCTGACATCAGCCCAACGTGTCCGACCCCGGAATAGCGCAAACCATCAACAAGCCATGGCCTGCGTTTCATGTCTACCCATACTTAGACGATTGTCAGCAAAATTGTTGTCAGCCTTATGATGGTTCGTGGTATCGAGCAATCTAGCATGTTTCAACAAGAAACATTTCCTATGACAAGACAACATTGCGCCTTGTGTACGTGGGTGTCGATGGCATAACGGGAAATTGAGAGATCAGAATAGATGGGTAAGAGGAATCTGATGAGAGACAGGCACTGTCAAGCAAGAGGATCAGTCTAAGAAAAGCGCTTCACAAGAGTACTACCTGTATCCTGACCATGAGCAAGAGTGTATAAAGCCAACATATCATGGTCACTTGTCCTTTCGCATCATCTTCACTACAACCCTCCACAGCTTCAGCACCACAATCCTCACCACCACCAAACTACTACCAAAATGCAGCTCATCGCTCTCCTCACACCCCTCCTCGCGGCCTTCGCCATCGCCGCTCCTACCGCCTCCGTCAACATCGACACCCGCCAGACCGGCAGTCTCCGCGTCCAACTCTCCAACGACGCCATCGACACAGCCGTCCAGCGCGTCATCCCCGCTAATGGGTAAGTCCCAGCCATCTATACCTTCCACAACAATCTCTTCCTTGTCTTTTTTGTTTTATTTTCTTCACATCGTCCAGCTCACCACCGAACGAGTTGAGGTAGTTTTCTGTTTCAACTAACCATTACATGGTAGCTCCCGTGTTTCTATCCGTGCAAACTTTGCTGGCCTGGGCCGTCCGGTGTTTGCTAATCGTGCACTGATTGTCGGTGCTGGAAATGGGCGGTGCAACATCTTTAGTGATGCGGCGGGCACGAAGAGGGGGGCTACTATTGTGTAAGTTTCTGTCGTCCAACTTTGAGTTGGAGTGAGGACCTAGCTGGGATTAACATGATGTTAGGGCTGGTGGCGACGATGTCGATTTTGGCCAGACTAACCTGGACAACGGGGTTATTGTCTGTCAGTAAAGGCGATATGAGAGACGACGTCATATGATTGGTAAGGGAAGCGTGGGGTGGTTTGTGGGGTTGGAGACTGTGGGATGGAAGGATGCTATATGAGGACTTTCGTTTTACTTGTGTTTTTGTTTTTGTCTGCGTCTTTTGTCATGCAATTCTCTTTCTGCTCGAGCACTATCGATATAGAATAAACATTTGTCTTTCTTCCGTGTTTTCTGAGTTGCCCAGTGCGCATGCCTTACACGCCACGCTCACAGGTTCCATCAATCATTTTGGCAAAAGAAATGACAAGGTGCTCCCTACCTCATCAGCGTAACGCTGACCCATCGACCTCCTTAGCTCGTCTTATACCTTGGCTTATTCAGAATTCTTTTCGAACCTGCCGAGAAGCTTACTAGATCAGCTACGCCGCATGTACTTCCTGTTTTAGTTGCTTGTGGTCGAAGAGTGGGAAAAGACCAGTCATCTCGAGATGCCAGGTCCTTACTAGATGCCAATGACATCCGAGATCTCAGACACTGGGCAGGAGGGCAAGACTCAAAGCAATAGGTATAAAGAAATAGATAGATTGGTTGTTACAGTCCTTGTATCAACTGTGAAGTTTGTCCTTAGATAACCTAGGGTTAATTCCCGGGCACGAGTGAGTCCAGTGAACAGAGAGATGTGTGTTAGCATAATTGGTAGATTAATATGATAAAACGAGAGTCAAGAATGAAATCCCAATCCTTAGATTTAAGCATAAGATAATTTCCGAAGTTAAACATGATAAGCTGTAGGAGCTTATTCTAAGAGGCTGCGCTCAAGAAGCTATTACACTAGTATATAGAGAAGCGTATTCAATAAGGAAGAGAACTCCAGGCTGCTAGATTGCTAAAGGTCCACCGGCAGCAGCTCAGGTTAACCTTCAGCCACAGCTTAGGGATTTGGCTCAAGCATCGCTCAGACGCGTACTGTCGCGCGCCGTGCGCTTGCGCATGTGACTGAGATATCACCAAGGACATAACAACTACGCTCCAGCCCATCACATCATAAGACTTTATGCTGAAGCGACAGCGCGTCAGTCGCGCAGCGTCGTACGAGAGACATCAAAGGTCTAAGCAGCTGCTCGTACAGTCTTTATCTAACGCCTATCGTTGCACAGCGAGTTGCTCAAGTAGCCCCGAATGACTTCATAGGTCTGACAAGTTCGCGAACTCAGTGTGTGATGCGATACATGCGCTTCATGGTGGGACCGTATCGCATGCGTACCCCTTCATAGGCAGGCCTGCTTATCACTCGCGAAAGCAAAATCGACCGTAAGCGACCAACATTACTATCAGTTTCGGTTCCCTATAACGAAGAAAACCTCATCTACATAGTATACACGTGCCTCCTCGGATTTGAGGGGGACCCCAAAACCAATTTGACTACCTCCGGATCTATCGACTGCAGACTTGACACCCAGCTCGTCACGATAGGAATTGGCCTAGCTCTGGAAGAGTCAGAGCCATCGACTAAGTCCCGGAAGTACTTATCCTCTAAGTCTCGGTTTTTCATAAGAAATTTCGCGAGCGTCACTTCTCTCTTCTGCGATAAAGACCAGAAATGTACAGACTCTAAGAGCATTGTGCAATAGCGAATGGAGGATTCGACAATCCGAGGCAGTAGTGTTCTTCCTTTACTATCCCAAGCTGCACGGTCCCGATGGCCAAGACCCTTCTCTGCAAGGATTCTATCGATGTCGTCGAAGACCGCCTTGGTCCCAACGGACAGGATATAAGGCGAAAGGTCGAGTATCTCCTTCTGAACCTTTTCATCGTAGGTCTTGAGATGTTCTTGAATGCGCAATTCAATAGGTTCCATCCACTGCGTATCTGGACCGAGATCTTGCGTTTCTGTGTCCAGGCCTAAGATAACAAACAGCTGTGCGGGAACGTAAGCTTTCAGCATAGGAAAGGAGTGTTGCGATGGCTTCTGGCAGTGCGGATCAGCTTTTTCCGGTGGTAGGCTCTCATCGGAGCGTATGGATATCTTCTGTTGTTGTACTATATGCCGTGCACAATTGAACATCGAGAATTGATAATAGTGTGACGGCAATAGTGTGGTTGTGGAGGGGAAAAGACTGAGTGTCATCGCGAAACCATTGAACTCCTTTTTCCGTGAGGCCTTACCAGCAGTACTGGTAGGGAAGAGGCTGCGATAAACATGTAGCATGCGGTCCATAAGACAGGATTGGAGGTGATCTTTCGCGGAGCTGCTTGTTATGGGGTTCTTGTCCATGACCAATAGCTCCTCATACCATACGTTCAGCAACACAGCTACCAGAAAATAGTGTCCCAGGTATGCCATATGATCGAGCCATTCGAGAGAGATTCGGCGCAGCGTATGAAGATGGTAATTTTTATGGAAGTAAAGGTCATCTTTCAGACTCGGCCAAAGAAAGCTGATTACGCTCTCCCACTTGAGTATGCTCGAAGAGTAACTCCATATCACCGATTGATGGGTGCACTGTCGGAAAAATCGTCTGGCGTGTAGCGGCTCCATGAAGTCGAGGAAGCTGCGGAGACCCTCCAAAAGTTTGTGGATCATGGTCATCATAGCTCGCTCAGATCTCATGATGTTGTCGATGGTTATTGGCAAAGTGGATCCGATTCTTTTCACCTGGAACTCAGCTGTGAACAGGAATGTTGAAGCTGCTCTAAGTAGTCCCCTCTCAGAATCAGACGTCTCCGGTACATCGGTGAAGCATGAAAATGCAAAGTCTACGAACTTCGTTCTGACATTACATGTGAACTTCTGAACTGGTGTGCGATAGGCATTCTTGCTCAATATGTCCTTGCATCGAAGGCAGGGACCGTCGATCGAAGTTTCGCACTGCGGTTTAGATCAGCGACTCAGTCAAGAAGAACTTGTTAAACATCGATTTACGCACCTTCTTTTTGTTGAGGCGACATCCAAAGCAGGACCAAGAAGCTTTTGTCGTAACCTTTCGGCGCTTTGGGTGGCCTTTTTTACGTTCACGATCAGCTTCAGGGCTTGTATGAAAGTAGATATTGTCGAGCGCACAACTAGACAATGTTTTGTCATAGCCAGCGTTATCCGAACCGCATGTTTTTCTTTTGGCGATGGATAATTGGTCGCCACCGATTCCAGAGACGACTGTCATGGTTTGAGAATGGAGCAGGGGAGCGGCAGTTTCTACTGCATCGGCACAGCCTGTAGCATATTGCTCGCTCGTCGGATAAGACGACGACCCAGGCGACACTGCAATAAAGGAATGGCCTTGACGCGAAGCGATGTTGCCGTTCCACGGTGGAACAGTAAGAGGACTTGTCATGTTGCAGGCGGCGTCATCAATCGGATACATTTCCAGATTATCTGCATCAACAGCGACGGATCCAACTCCTTGCCGCGCAAGAACTGATTGCGTGCTGTGACAAGGATTAGTAGCTTCCAAGAAAGATCCGTTGTTTGCGTGGTCGCCTGTATCTAAGATAGGAATCATCCTGTTGTAAGGTGGTGTTCTGAGTCGCATCGAGATCTCTGTGGATGGCTCACGATACATGACCTGATAGGGAGCACTAGGGTCGTCGACGTGGATATCGGGAAAGGTAATGCTCGTCTGATCTGGATCATGGACGACATTCTGGGAAGGATTCAGATCAAACGTGGTATCTGGGATCTGCTGTGTATGCCAGACACCGAGGTTGGAACCCTGCATGCTGCCGCTATCATTCGGCATAGGGTCGTGGTTGAAAAGCTGATGTGAATGCATGAACGCGTTGGAAGGACCAGATTCCCCACCATAGTCGGTGATTGTGCTACCCATGACAGGACCCATACAGGGAGAATCTACAATCCGTGTGTGTGTGCTTGGAGAGAAGGCTTTTGCCTTTTCTAGGATTTGATAGCGTGCTACAGTATGCCGCAACTCCGCTTCGGCGAGCTCCTGTTGCACCTCTTCTGGCAGGCCTGATCCTTGTCCGTGGTCACATCCAGCAAATCCTGCTCGTTGTTGACAAGGCTTGAAGGCCACCCACGAAGTTGACTGAGAGGTATCTCGTGGGTTTGCACTCGTTGGAAAGCTACTTAGTGTGTCGCGACCGTCTATGAGTAGCATAGCTTGCCGTGTGTCTGTTTGGGTGACCGCTATGGGCATCATGTTAAGTTCTCGATGAGCCCATCCAGTTGCATATTCATCTCGCTGTTCGGGTTCTGTGATGGCGTGTTGGCGATCCATGGCGGTGGCATACGAGGCTGATTCCTGGCTGCTAAGAAGAATCCCAGATCCTTGCGCACGAGATGTAAGGTAGAACAAAGTAGGTTGGAGGAAGGCTCCCAGAAGGCTTTGGAATACTGAAGGTTGACATGATCTTTCGATGGTAAAAACGTCGAGTCTTTAAGGGCAGTCGATGGAGGCTAAGCACAATGTGTTGACGAGTAGACAGCAAGCGACAAGGCTGAGGGACAAGTTGTCAGCACAGCTTTCCGCACCCCAAAGCAGATTAGGCTCCCCCACCTCTACCGCTCGAGCCTGCCTTCCGCAGCTGGAAACCGACTGGCGTTATCTTGGCACCACGTCTTCCCCGTTCCGCAGCCGCATCGAGATGCGCGAAGGGTTATGCCATGAGAGATTCATTTCCACTGCGCATAAGTTGCAGGATCTGGATGCAAACCATCATGCGTATAAATAAGACGAGAGGAGCCTGTGATGCAATGTTCGGTAGATCAAAGCACAAAGACTCGGTTGAAGCCTATCATTTTCGCTTGACAGCTCCTGACTACGCCACTCGAAAAAAGCAAGCAACGCGCCAATCATGTGGACCCGATCGGACATCCTCGCTCTTCTTCAACTTCTCGCCATGATTGTCTTTGCAACAGTCCATGCTGCATGGTGTCTAGCCATCCATCGAGGTGCGTATTCTTTATTTGCGCAAGACCATGTACTGATGTTCCTCAAGCTACTATTCGGCGTAGGGCGCATGCAATCAGACCTAACATGTTGATCGAAACAAAGGCTACACCAAGCCACGGCCGTAACTACCCCTCCAGGATTATCGCGTACCAACAGGTTCATTAGCGACGTGATGCCTCCACTGATCTTGGTCTGAGATGGGGACCTGACAGTCTCGATTCAAAGCATCAGCCTTGAAGGGAATTGAACGGCGCATGGTGGTATAAGTAAGCCTAGGCGCGTCTTCTGTGCTAGCAGACAGTTTAACGGACTCAGCCTTAGTGGACGAAGACAAGTTTGTATATAGACCCTCCGCCGCGATCGCTTCGGGCGTAAAGAGAGTGCCTATGTTGTGATGACGAGGTTCGACGGCTGGATCAAGGTCAGGATGTGTGCCGGTGCGTTTAATGGTGGAAATCTCCCACAAAATATCAAGTGCCACTACATCCATGGCGGAGAGCGGCCAGGGGAGGGGAGTGCAAGCCGTGCGAAGACTAGGGATTGGTTGTCCAAGAGGCAGAAAGGTCACAAGCGTCCAGTTTGCCAATGCGCATTTTGCAGCTGTGAATGTATGTCGGAATGCAACCATTCATTCGATACATCTCACCCGGTCTTCCTTGTTTAGCACTTCTAGCAGGTGGTCTTGCATTTAGCACAGACGCACGACAACCTCCCGAGCTCAAGCGTATTGCTCTAGATAGGATGTCAGTGTAGCAAGCCACAAGTTAACTAATCTTCAATGGAACAAACAAGCTCTCGACGCATTTACTGCTTGCCAAAGCAAGGCGGTCGCGTAAAGCTTATAAGAAACTGAAGTATTACACAGCAAGCTAAACTGATTTTGAAAAGACGTTAGAAGAAAATAGATTTTATGGATTAAGGCTACTGTTCTAAGAATATCTATCCCTCTAACTTGTTGTTGAATTTGTTGCGTTGGGGAGTATCTGTGGCGTCTCGTCACACAGGGTGTCCTGCCTCTGGCGTCGCATTGGAAGTCAGCTAATAGTAGGAAGCCTTCTCACACAACAACAACAACAACAACAACAACAAGGCCTCTAATCAATATTTTAGAGAGACAGTCTTGCTCGCAGTACTTTATTGTATATCTGTCTTTGTATTAGGATCTATTAGCTGCGTTATAATTCGAAGAAGAGGCCTTATTGTAGAAGGCCTTGCTTCCGGCTTTTAATGCGACTCCAGAGCCTGCTACCCGGGGATAGACGTTAGTTTGCAGTGCTGCAGATGCACTCGCTTGTGCATTGCAAGGCTAAGATGCGGGCTTATGCGATGCATGAACTGGAGCACGCTTAGAGCCACGACCGGTTCGCTGCCGAAAATCAAAACAAATATGGTCGGGCAACGTTTGGGCAATCTATGGCTGCTCACCCAACATGAAGTTACGCCTGAATCCGTACGTGATGGATAGCTTTAGACCGCTGGTTCGGGCCGTTAATAAACTACACTAACGCATGCAGAAATTACATGATAAGACGCGCCGAATTACAACCTTGCTAGCGCAAAGCTGAGCGCCATCCGTCGTTGCCGTAGAGAGAACCCTGCGGGAACACGAACACTAGTGACAGATTGGAACCGTCACTCCTGTCGCCACGTCCAACATTCTCGCCCAGCACCATACTCTGGACTACCATCGTATCGAGAACACCTGCGGGGTACACGCAAACTTTGGTCCTGTCGGTACCGTCATGGACAACGTACCGGCTGCACGTGCTTGCCTTAAGCCAGGTCGCACGTGGGAGTCTCGGAAAGCTGTTCGTGGGGAGAACACGCGGGAGCAGCAATTTTACCGGTACGCATCCAATTATCCTATGGGTCGAATGTCCGTTAAACAATCCTTCGTTGACGGTGCTAATAGTTCCATCAAGATACTATGGCCCATTCCAGGAGATGTCTGATTATGGTCCTCAATTCTGCGACGTCCGCATTCCTGACGCCAGAGGCAAACACAAAGCTGTCTCATGTCCCGATAAAATTCTTACAGCCTTCTGCCAGCTAGGTGCTTTAAGGCTGAGGGCTCGCCGTTGTTTGATTTTCTTTTTTGATGTCAATCACGCCTACATCATGGCTGAGGCGACGCAAACGCTATCGCTCGAAGATGATGCGATACACGAACCCGGAGATGAGGTCTGGATGGGCCACTCTATTATTCCTCGCGATGTTGCCTGTTGCGAGACTACGGTCAATCTTCCATCATTTCCTATCTCTGCTGCTGCAGGTAGCGATATCAAGAAAAGCGCGTTCGTAGTAAACGACCTGACCAAGCACCCGGACTTATCTACGAGGCCATACGTCACCGACTTTCCCAATGGTCGTTTCTATGCCGGTGTGCCCATAACTACGCCATCTGGCATCAATATTGGCGCATACTGCATTCTCGACGACAAAGTCCGAAATGGGGTTTCGGACAGAGATCTCATCTTTCTGCGCGACATGTCGAAAACGGTCATGACCCACCTCGAGGCTGTGCGTGCTCTTGCTGAGCGGCAGCAAACCAATCGTATGGTGGCTGGACTTGGTGACTTTGTGCGTGGTGGGGCTTCGGATGCGGGTCGTACAGCGCCGTCAGCAACCAATACACCTCCGAAAGAGGTTGGTGTAGAAGCCCAAGATACCCACGCTGTAGAGTATCGCCTGCCCGATGCATTGGTTGATGCTACGGGAACGCCTGCCACGCCGTCTTCGCAGTCGTTAACGGACTACTTTGTTACTCAGCATCAACCAAGCCCACTGGCAAGCCATGCTGAAGCACTTGAAAAGGATGCTGTTTCTCTACGACAATCAAGCGAATACAGCGGAATCTCTTCCCCAAATCATCAGAAACATGATTTACCCGATCGATCGGTGCGGACAGATTCTGGAAATATACCAAGTTTTACTGCTTCTCCAATAGAAACCTCGACGGTTCGTCCACTGCCTCGTCCGCGAGAGAGCGCTGATGATCCAAAGAGTACGTATCAACGTGCTGCTGAAATTCTTTGTCAATCGCTCAACATTGATGGAGTTGCCTTTCTCGACGCGTCCGTCCGAGTATTTGGCGGGTTGAGCAATGACCAAGATGCTGAGTCTGTCGAAGGCAGTACTGCTGAGAGCGGCGATTCTACAGGCACCTTTTCACATTCAGAGTCTGCAGCTGAGCCACGAGTCGAGCGCGCAAAAGTCTGTCAGGTGTTGGGTTGTGCACAAACTGTGCGTGACGATATGCCGGGCATGAATCGTCCCAAAAGTCTGCCTCCCAAAAAGTTGACGGAACTGTTCTTACGTAAGCTTATGAATCGTAATCCGCACGGAAAAGTCTGGACTTTTGATGAGCACCTCAAAACGCATTCTGAAGATGGCTTTTCTTCGGACGAATCTGGCACCGGTATCGACGCTGCTGCAGCGCTGTCACCGAGTGTTCAGCAACGGAGGGCCACCCGTAGAGATCGAAAGAGTGATGGAGAAATCTTGCAAGCGGCATTCCCAGGGGCGCGATGCATAGCACTCAGTGGTATTTGGGATTATACGAGAAAACGGTGGGCCGTTGCGGGTCTGTACTGGACTATTGATCCGTTCAGGACTTTTGCCAAAGAAACAGAGATGAAGTTCGTTGCTGCCTTTTGTGACATCATCGTTGCTGAAACCAAACGTCTTGAAGTGGTTGGGACCGACAAAGCCAAGTCAGACTTCATTTCAAGCATATCTCACGAGCTCCGCTCCCCGCTGCATGGTATTCTTGGATCATGCGAGTTATTGTCGGACCGTGGGCTAGACGATACAGCAATGACGTTGCTCGAACAAATAGATTCATGCGGACGCACGTTGCTTGAAATCATCGAGCACCTGCTTGATTTCGCAAATATCAAGAGTCGGCGATTGAGAAAGGGTTCTGTCAAGGGCTCAAAAATCAGTCGGAAGTTTTTACCACCTACCGGAAGTTCTTTTGCCGATGATCTAGAAGCACTACAAAAGAGCGTCGCACTAGATGCTCTGACCGAAGACACCATCATATCCTCTATATACTCATTTTACTACGGCCAAAGACTCCACAAGGACACTCACCCATCGGTCATTCTTGACATTGACCGTTCTAACGGCAAGGCCTGGACATGCAGCTTAGCGACAGGCGGCTGGAAGCGGATTTGCATAAACCTCGTCACCAACGCACTCAAGTACACTCCTTCTGGTTTCATTAGGGTCTCTCTAAAGCAAGAGCCCAAGCCAGGATCACGTCGGCGCTTCAATGCTTTGCTTACTGTCTCTGACACTGGTATAGGCATGTCGAAGAAGTTTCAGAACGATCGTCTGTTCCATGACTTTTCTCAAGAAGATACAATGTCCGATGGTTTAGGCCTTGGTCTGCACATGGTCTCGCGGATAGTATATGCAATGGGTGGCAGGATCGAAGTCGTAAGCAATGGAAAAGGCACAGGCACTTGTGTCACTGTACTTGTGCCCTTAGAGCATAGCCAGAAAAGTTCGCATCGCAGTGACTCTTGGGACAAGGAAATTGTAACTTCCCCAAATGTCTTTGGAGTTCTAAAGGTCGGTCTTGTCACAGGGACAGAAGTTCCAACAGATTTTGAGAATTCTTCGACAACAGAACTATCTTCATTAGCGATCGCTTCTGTCGAAAACAATCTCAAGTTCATGGGCGTACATTTCGAGCGATGCAAGTGGCGAAGCGTCAATTCATACGACCTGATACTCGTCATGGAAGCTGAACTAGCTGGATGCCTCGCGGCACTACGAAACAGCAGTGCTGCGGATGATCTCCATGCAAAGAATGCCGACGGTCTTGCACCTGTGCTGGTTATATGCAACCATAATCCAAGTGCACGGATGCTACGAGACTCGTGGGCAACGGACGATCTCCGGTCTTATGTAACCATGGAACATGTTGCTCTACCATGTGGCATCAAACAGATCACTCAAGCGATCTCGTCCGCTTTACGTCAGCACGAGAAGCTTAAGATGGCACGTTTGGACATAGTAGAAGCTTATCAAGAGTCTAGAAGGGAGAGCTCTGCAGACAGTGTGGCACTATGTGACATCAAGACTCAGAGTCAACCCCAACTGCGATCGTTTGCTCCAGTAAGGGCGACGACTAATATCACTTTTGTAGAGCAGGCCTGGGCTGATTCAACGCGGTCGACTGATAAGTCAGCACATGTGCTTCCAGTACATTCGTTGCCAAAAGATGCTCAGCTTTTCTCCTCATCGAGCCATCGCATATCGGCCCCCCAGACTGGTCTGGATTCACAGGCTGCACAGAATTTGGGACCGGGTACCCCTTCAACCGAAGTCACATCTGCACTCGGACTTCCTACCCAAATTCCAATCTTACTACTTGTCGATGACAACGACATCAATCTCAAGCTTCTCTCTACCTTCGCTAAGAAGTACAAGTACTCGCATATCCTCGCACAGAACGGCCAGCTTGCTCTTGACGCTTTCGAGAACGCTCACAGAAATCTCAGCTCGTGTAACAGCAACGAGGCGGAAAACGTCCGCATAGTAAGAACCGGCATGCCAAATACAATCATTATGGACATCAACATGCCTGTCATGGACGGTTATGAAGCCGTTCAGCGGATCCGCTCTTACGAGAAAAAGCATCGTTTAACGCCATCCAAGATAATTGCTGTAACTGCTTTACAGTCGGAGGCTGCACGAGTCGAGGCGATTGGTAGTGGCTTTAATATGTTCTTAAGCAAGCCGGTTAAACTGAAGGATCTAGCGAAGCTTATCCAAGTGGGTTGATTTTGTATGCCAGCAATCCTCTTGGTTGTTACAAGGTAACAAGGAAGTATTCCTCCTTGACGCAGGTCGCATAGTAAGTGATCTCACGTCAGAATCTAGACAGGGATGTTGGGTTAGCTGGGGCTGTGACTATGGTACACCTTATACGACCTGACTGCGCCACACTAAAGAGACCACGTCTCAACAAGATTTCCCGCCTTCGACCTCTTCCCTTCAACCCATTACCATTTTGCCAGCTTAGTCCCATCTGCCAAGCCCGCGATACTCGATTACCAATTGCAAGGGCGAAAATTACTCACATTCAAATTCATCCTCCACATCACTCAAGCAATGACTGATAACAACGACGATAACTTCAACACGCAAATGCTTGCCGCTATCGAGTCTAACGACCTCGGTGCCCTGCAAAATATGCTGTCGACACGCGAGGCCGAAGGTCCTTATGCTTTGCACCGGGGTCAGGGATTGACCGAGGCCCTCAGCACAGCATTGGAGCTAGCTCGGTTCGATATAGCCGAGGAGCTTTTCAAGCTTGGTGCCAGGTGGGGTGATAGCACCATCATGTATGTCTCAGAAGGGGCACGTGAGGAAAACGGGTGGAATACGAAAGCCATTGATGTGGCGCTAGCGCACGGTTGGAATGTCAACGAGCACTTTGACCATATCGGCAGCGCTCTTGTGTAAGCCTTTCGCTACCCTTCTCGAGACCATTTGACGCGCATAAATGACTGAAAGGTACACAGACACCTTGTCAGCGCAACAGAGACAGGCCCAGAATATCCCGATGGCGATACAGCTGCCCTAAAGATCGCTGCGCATCTATTATCAAAAGGCGCCGAGGTGGACGAGGGTACCCAGACGAGCAACAACCCACTAGAGTTAGCCTGTATGAAAGGTGATAGGCATATGGTAGCGCTATTATTAGCACATGACGCATCGCTGGAAAAGGCGCCCAAAGCACTCCTCAATGCTGCCAGAAACGGCAACATCGACATTATGCAGCAGTTGCTAGATCGCGGCGCTGATGTCAATACACACCCGTATGGAGACTTGGAGACAATTCCTGCGCACCGACAGGGCAAAGGTTGGGGCTCTGCGCTACATTGTGCTGTTAGGGAGCACCATACTAAGGCAGTCTCATTTCTCTTAGAGAAAGGCGCGGATAAGGAGTGCAGGAACAGGGTGGGGCTTACGGCTTTGGATTTTGCTCGCGAATTAGGACAGAATGACATTGTGCGGTTGTTAGAGTAGAGTGATGACCACTTATGCAATCGTCTACCCTGAACAGCACTATTCACCATTCCTAGTACCCGAAGAAACGTAGTTGCAGGCTACCGAGAATGAGCTAGCACCTAGGCCTGTATTAGGTATTCAGTGGACGAGATGAATAATCGAGAATCTGATGCTTGAGATGTGTATCGAACTTAAATTGTAGCAACTAAGCCTAGGATGGGTCGCTGACGCGAGGGTGTCGAGTATGATACATAGAAAATGAAGAACATCTAACGACAATGGCATTGATGCCGGATATCCAATAGCCAAATTTAGGTACGAAAAGCCTTTGGAAAAACCACGCGAGGCGGCACTCTTGAGATACAATGTTGCCAAAATGAGAAAGGGCCGTCAGGGCATACGCCTTTTGCAGCTGTGACTGTGTGTCGGAACAAAACTATTCACTTGATACATTTCTTCCTGTTGCGACCATAACGTAGTACTCCTTGGTGAAAATGCCAACGCTGCAGGCGCAAACTCGGCAGCTTCCAAATAGCGACCTGTCTGTTCTCAACTGCAACAGATTCCTCCTCACCAAGCAACTGACAGCCGGAATAATTTCAACCAGTCCAAGCTCCAAGAGTACGTCGCTCCGTCTTTGATACAAACATGCCTCTCCACGACCAATCCATCATGCAAGCCCACGAAGAAGCCCTAGCCTTACTCACGAGCGCGCCTCAAAAGACATCCAATGCATCAATGGAGAACCTCTTGAGTATCTATGGCGCACAAGAGGGATGTAATCTATTATGTGAGTCTGTTGATACTATCCAGCGCAAAACGATTCTGGAGGAGCTCTCGGAGATCTTGCATCTGCGTGGTCGTTTGCAGCAGACGGGCGCTACATTCTCTGATAAGGGAGAGATGCTGACCTATGGGAACCCATCTTCACCCAAGGAGTTCGAAGCCATGATACGTCTCGGTCCATTATACGTTGATCAGTGGAATTCATTCTTCATTGAGACCTACGAACCGTCTGACAGTGGAGGTAAAAGTGCGCAACTATGGGCTGGTTTACGTACCTTGAAGAAGCTGCTTCAGAATGAAGGCGTAGTGTTCGACCAACAGCACCAGCGGTATTCCTTTGGCGATTCAAGCACGAGACTGCGAAGATTGTGTTGCGCGTATGATGGGTTACGGAGTGAATGGCTAGTAATTTTACGAACAAGCCTTCCAGCACGTAATGACGCACAACAAGCGACCCTTCTTGGAGAGGAGTCATCTAGCGAAAGCGACTCAGGATCCAGCTTCGATGATAGTCAAAGATTGAACGGAACAGTGATTCTTGATAGGGAAGCGCCCCGAGACATCACCAGTCAACCTGTGATTCGGCATCACCGCAGGAGTAGCGTACCACACAACATTGGTTGGCGTTTCAGTGACGATTCTATACCGAGTTCTCGCAAGAATGTCGCCTGGAGGTCTAGTGACGATTTGAGCTTGGCACCAGAATGGAGCGATGTTGAACAGGCCAACGCTCAGGGCCCGCAAGATGCGTCATCTGTGCCGATATTCAGGAACTGTAGTCCTAAGCGAGTCAACGCCTTACATGGAGATGCCAGACCAGTAACAACTCCATCATCCATTCCCACCAATCCGATGCTACATGGCGCACCACCGTCACAAGTAAGCCATCTAGCTTCTCATCTTACCCAATCGCGCGCAATACCGCCGCTGAAAAACGCCAACGCACAGATCAGGTCACTTCCTGGCGATATCGTGTCGAACGCAGTAGGAGACAAGGTGATATCCGGAGATGTAGCGAAGGCAATCCCAGTACGAGAGGCAGCCAAGAAAGACCGAAAGCATAAGACATGGAGTAGAGTACGCCGCTGGTTTCGAAATCCTTTCAGCCGCAAGTAATGTAGCGTACCACTATGGTTCTGAATTGGCGTGACAAAGCGCTCGTAAACTACAATGACGCCCAAGGATACTTAAGTGGCTATGAGCGATCGGTATCTAGCGTCGCCCTATAATAGTAAATTCACGGATGGATGTCGTTGAATCGCACATCGATAACGAATCGTTCCACCTGTTCTTGTTCCGTCTTTTTATTTTGCCGTGGTGATCCATACTGCCTAAGACGAGCAGCGGAATGTTCTGCAATTCTCTGACTTTCAGCGCCGAAGTGACAAGCTGTGTCATAAAGCTTCTTGAAGATAGGGTTCTTCACATAGATCGCTTAATCCTTTGGTTCTCCTGCAGTAGAATGTCATTCAGCCTGCGTGGTTGTTATGCCTTGCAATAGCAGTCGACTCGAACACGTAGGGCTCCGAAGCCCGTACGTCGTTGACCGATCATTGCGCCGTTGGCAGGTCGGTAGCAGATGCTCATCATATCATTTGGAATGCAGTATCCAGGTTCCTAGCCAAAGATGCACAGAGGTGCGACCTGATAGATGCAGGATCGTGGACGCGAAGGAAAGGAACGTGTAACGTCATCATGTGGTTAGCGCATAGCTAGCGCCATGCCGTGCTTTCTTTCGACAGCATCATCACTGGAATTGACAAACATCTCACATCTTCGCTTCCAGCAAAAACGACAAGCACCGCTATACCATACAGGCCAAGATCTTATGCACCAGCAGTTCATACAAAGCCAGACTGAAGGAGCCAGCGCTTTCGTCGTATCCATCGTAATAGCGATCGAGCCTGTTGTCGCCTCAATGCTTATCCGATCGTTCGTGTCGAACATGTATCGCGCGTTTACCTTGAGCAACGGATTTGGAAAAGAAGAAGAAATAGGTGTTAACAGTCTCTCAGGAATAAGTCTAATCTCGTTCTCTAGCCATACAGGCCAAATATGGCTTCGCTGCCGCGATCGATAGTCACGAGGTACTTTGCACATCCGTGTCGCCCTTCGTTCCCGGACGATGAGTGCGATGTGGCTCCCATTTAGACGCTAAAGCGGTCGTCAAATCGTCTACTGCGGGATCCTTCTTGATATCGACCTTCATGGCATTAAGTCGATCGCTCACATCCTCAACGCTGACTTCGTGAATTTTGCGGTCACTCAAAACTGTTGACAGAGTAGCTTGATCTGAAGTTGGATTGTTCGAGGACATTCGTCACAATAGTTGGATGAATCCAAATTGCAATGCCTTCGTTTGCCTGTAACGGACGTTTCTACAAGCGAATTAGATCGTCAGGATATGTCATGAAGCCCTTAGCCTTTCTCTTACGACATGCGATAAGGCTGTGAGCTGCGTCGAAAACTTACTGCTGTAGCCTGCTCAAGTCCACCGCAGATACCTCGAAAATCTGAAGCTTATTAGTCGTGGCAATAAAAGCGAAAGTTGGAGGCAAAAATTACGGCGCACCCACACTACTGATTCACGCAACCTATGGTACGCGCGGAAGGACCTCAGGGAAATTTTCTGAGCAGGCTTATGAGATCTTGTCACGAACGTGTGGATTCTGATCATCCACCTTGACGTTCGACAAACGCTCAAACAACCAACGCCGCCTACCGCCAGCCCGTCAGCCCGCGTCCAAAGCAAACGCGCACAGTCTGCCCCTATCCAGTCACTGGTAGGCATTTGGGTCGTTGCGTCTTCCGTGCTTGCTCTGCATCAAGCTCGACTCTCACAGACATTATAGTCTCCGTCAACAACAATGAATACATCATCTCGACAGATTGCGACCTTCCACACCGGTTTAGACTCATCGTCACTGTATAGCGAAGACGACGGCAGATCTGACAGCAATCTGTTGGGCACGCAATCCCACCATCGGTCGTCCTTGGAGCCTAACATAGGAGGTTTGCCTTGTGACGATGCACGAGACGTTGACGGGACTTCTGCGTCGTCATCTACAAGGGGGCTCACAGGTTCAGGTCTAAATGACGGTCAAGGGTTTAACCTGGATACTTCTGTCAATTACACGCCTGCCTGCCGCTTGGGGACTCAACAAGAGACTAGAGCACGTCGTTCCCAAAGCGTAATTGAAGCCACAACTCTGCAACACAACATCTGGCGGGATACTACTTTAGATGAGTCCAGAGCATATTTGCAGCGAATTCTGGCAGAGCACGATGCTATTAATGATGGCTCAAGCTCAGACGAGTATTGGAAGCAAGACCAGGTCGAAGGGGAACCTAGCGCTCGACATGTGACGCTCGCTAGTCGCAACATGTGTCCGATCAATTCGAACGCCGGCTCTTTACGACACAGACGCGGAACCCTCTTGTCAACGACGTCGCTTATCTCGACTGACTCGGGAGAACAGACTGAGATTTCCTACCAAACTGATAAATTCCGCAACATGCTCCAGGACGGTACGCATACTTTAGAAACTGCGGAGAATATCTTACAACCGGTAACGCCGAGGCCTCGAGCGTTGACACTTTCAGACACTCCCTCTGAACTGCAGCTCCATAGCTCTAGCTCACTTGCGTCCGACGGGTCAGCACACCAATCTACCGCACTATCAGGGCTCGATGGAGCTGATGGGAAGTCTGACAAGCTTTTGTCTACCGGAGCGTCTGATCAACGGATCCAAAGATCAACTCGTCGCTCGTCGCTCGCTACACGACGTCAAGGACGGACTGACTGGCGGGATTGCACCTTGTTGTCATCAACTGGGCGAATGTATGGCCTGGGAGACCGTGACGAAGGATACGCGGCCGGTCGCTATGTGACAGTGACCAAGGAAGATGCGCAACCAAAGAAAGAGAAGCGGAGAAGAGACGCATGGATGCGCGTATCGTGCTTCTAAAGACTGACATTAGTGATTGGGCGCGCGGTCTTTCCTGACACCAAGCTTAAAGAAGGTGGAATTAGACGACTGTTCGTTTGTAGGCTTGCAAAGTTGGCGGAATGCTAGAGCAAACAACGAAACCTTGTCATTCTACTCGTATATGGTAGCTATGTTGGCAGACGCTTGGCATTCATCGCCCGTCTATCGTATTGACGTCATGGCCACAGCGAACCATGACTCATATGTGATGCCTGCTTCGCTGGCTGCAGGTGAGCATATATAGCCGTCTTTGAGACTACACAGTACACGTGATGACCTCTTGGCGCGGCGTTTCACCTTAGTTCCGGCAGTTGCAGCCGAATTCGGTATGCGCACGGGCCCAGCACCAACTTCTGGCAGTAGCGACTGTCCCTCACTCTTTCACACCACCTCTTCTCCGACAACGACAACATTCTACAGCGTGCCAGTCGCGTTGTGGATCATCGATGATAATTTCACAGCGGCGATCGCTTTCACGCTACAATGAACCCGCTCGCTGTTGAATATATAGCGCTAAGTGCGAGACAGCGACTTACTCTTCCCATCAACTACAGTCACAATCTGGGCAGCTTATTCAGATCCGTGGCAAATTCGAATCCTGAGTCTACCACTAGTCGCAGAACCTCATTCGATTCCGGTGGTTCAACCTTGTGCTTCGACAGTCAGCCATCGCATACGTCGCGGGATCCTGGAAGCGAGAAGTCTCCAAGAATGACAACATATTACCATTATGACTCTGACGGCAGAGTCACGGCCTCAACCTCTAGCCCGGGTGCTGGAATTTGCACAGGTAGCCCTTTGGCATCAGACGCCTACGAACGGCAAGGCGACGTTGTAGGAGCCTTCCTTGCACGTCGCAGCATGATTTACCCCGCATCAGGCGCCCCGGAAGCACAAGAGGTATATGGGTCTTCTTTCTACCCAGCCGTGGCAGCCTCCAAAAGCGGCGTAGATGGCGAATCTATCGACCAAAGCCACCGATTGAGTGACGGAGACGAGGGTTCTAGCTACACAGCTAGCTCGTCACCTAAGGCTTCTCATACGCTCGGCTGGGCAGGTTGGGCATCCCAGTCAGGTGTGCCGCGACCGTATACAAATCCTGAGTACATTCGCCACCTGCACTCCCTGCTCAATCTGCTCCCTTATCTTCAACCCGAGCGGAAGCTCAATGCGCTGAATGGTCCGGTGGTAGATATCATTGAGCAAGACACTGGTTTTGCTCTCGCTTATCAGGTTCCAAAGAAGATGCTAGTCCTCTTCCTTGGTCGTAAAGTGGTTAACAAGTTCATCCGTACCATACACCGTGAGGACGACAAGAACTGGAAAGGTGCACCAACTTCCCAAGAGATGAATCTACCCAGAGGAGTTGCTAGCCAAGCTTCTATGAAGATTCTTGTAGCATGGATGTTTCGGGCCTGCCAATACCAAACCATGGGTACGATGAAGCAGATCCGTATCCCAAGGAACACTTTCGCGGCCTGCTCCTTGGCGAGGACTATGGAGCTTTTCGAACTCCACAAAGACGCCTTGCGGGTCGATCATTACATCGCTGCAACCCACTTTACTCGGCCAATCTTTGCCAGTGAATTGGAGACGCTTTGGAATTGCCTTGGGAAAGGGAGCAGGTACGTTTACGCGGCGATCAATGTAGTTGGCCGGCGACTTCGTGCATTCGACGCTGGCAGCACTGGGGAAGACTCACTGGGAATTGATGCGGATATGTTGGCCATGCTCAAGGAACACCCGGACCTTGGAGCGCGGGTGCGTGATCCAAAGTTGAACGAGCAGCACCGACCCTATTTCAGCACCCAGTGGATCAAAAGATTGAACGACAAGAAGCACGACAATCGAGACCGAAAGTTCGACGAGACGTATAATCATCCTAGTGAGCCATCATCGAGGGATTCTTGGAATGAAGAACCAGCGGAGGGTTTTAAAGGTGAGCCACAGCCACTGGGGCTAGAAACTACAGCGCGCAAATTCGCCGTTCTGCGAATCGTCCCCGAAACCATAGATCCAGCGAGGACCGACGTCCAAAGGTGCTCAGAATCAAATGATAATGCCAGCTAGCATCCATGGTAGAGATTTAGGCAATTGTGCTACAGTCGCCTTTGGCTCACAGCGGCATCGCGACGCGATACCATGGAACATTCCATCGGACACCTGGTACTGCAATGGCCCATAAACGACGAGCCACGCATATATACCGCGTTACCATCGCCACCATCGTTGAGATCATCATACACAAATGGACCGAAACACCACCACAATGGAGTATCCCAGATTTGAGGTGGATGATATTGCTATGCATAACGAGTTCCCCACCTTCCCGCTGGGCAGGATAGAAGATCCGGCGGCTTTGAAGAGTGCAAATGATTTCCAAAGATATTCTTGCATAGTATGGCGTTGGTGAGCTTTCGAAACATTCTGCTTGATAGGCGGAGGAGACCGTCGCTCGTATGAGTATGAGGCTCATGATATAGCACAAAGCTTGTTTGACAAGTATATTGACAATATTTAAATAGAATTATTTACAAGAAAAGGCGTCCTCAGAACTTAGTACCACCCATCGTACATCCCATTCTTACTTGTAGGACTTTTGCGTCATCCACACATCTTGAGCCTAGAAGTAGCGGCCAAGAGCGCGGCGGAACTTGGAAGAGCTGTTGATGCATTGGGAGTACCATTCATTGCTCTTCACGCAGGTCGCAGGAGCCTCGCACTTGGTGGGACCGGTGAAACCCTGGCCACCGCACTGCGCGTAGAGCTTGGCAGCGCCGGCGGATGAACCAGAGCCAGTGGGAGCGGCAGGAGCAGGCTTAGCAGCGGCGGTGGTAGCAGCCGGTTTGCTCGGTGCCGCAGAGGTGGGAGTGGAAGGCTCGACAACCTTTTCAGCGACAGGAGCAGACGCAGATGCGGTACCGAGGTTTGCGGGACCAGCATTGGCCTTGACGTGGGCGGCGACCTTGCCAGCCTCCAGAACCTCAGGGACGTCGATTTTTCCAAGCTGAGCAATAAATCCGGAAGAGGAACCAGGAGACAGCTTGCCGCTGGCAGAGTCGACGCTGTTCTCGAGACAAGCACGGCCAAAGGGAGCAGAGCAGGCATCCCCACCCTTGCTGACGAAGGATGCGATACCAGCAGCGTGCTCGGTGTTGGGCTGGTCAACGGCGACGAATGCGTTACCCTCGACGAGTGCACTGACACCATCGTAGGCATCGAAAGCATGACCCTTCATGTTCTCAAAGAGGTTGTTGATAGCGTGGAAAGTGCTGCTGACACCGTCTTGGCCGAGCTTGGGCGCACGACCAGATACATCGTGGAAGTAGTTCTTGTCGAGGGTGAACTTCTCAGTCTTTCCAATCATCATCATCGTCCAGTAGTGGTTGTCGTTGCAGGTAGCGGACGTGGTGGTGACACCGTCGAATTCGTTGTTAGAGAGGGTAGCCTCGGAGCCATCATAGTGGCTGACAACGAACATACGTCCGACGAGTGAGAACTTGCAGTGGTCAACCCAGATCTTGGTGTTTCCTCCCTGCATGTCAAGAGCGTCACCTCCCCATACGACGCCGGGGTTGATGTTGGTGAACTCGACGCCCTGGATGATGACGTTGCTGGCGTCTTTGGCGATGGAGACACCCTTGCCCTTGATCACACCCTTTCCGCCAACGCCGAGGATAGACTTGTTGGATCCAATCTTGAGCGCGGTCTCACCGGCTGCATCGTAGGTGATGGAGCTGACGGGTGTCATCTCCGAACCACCGCAGGAGAGGTCGCCCAGATAGTACTGCCCACCGCCGCTCTTGGCTGAGCAGGTGGACTTGTCGCAACCAGCACCAGTCGCGGTCTTGCCAGTGAAATCGAACTCCTTGTTGAGTACAATCACGCGCTCAGTGTCATCGGAGAGGTACTTCTCGAGCTCCTCGTTCGTGGTTGGGGTGACAGCGGCGGCGTCTCCTCCACCGGTCGCACCGGCACCGTACCCGTAAGCTGTACCAACAACCGACTGGGCAGATGAGGTGGCAGCCGCGGCCAGAAGTGCAATGATCTCGAAACGCATGTTGTAAAGTTGGTACGCGAGGTTCAAAAAGGACGGGGTTCTGTAATATCTGCGAGAAAGTAAAGAACGTTCACTCAGACCAGCCGAATATTCCGCTCAAGGTGTTCAACGAGAGAAAATGAGAGAATAGTCAAGAGATAGTTGATCAGAGAATGTGTAAACGAATGTAGTGAATGACAAAAACCAATATCGCGAGCAGATCAGATACTATTATACCTGTTGATGAATACGCGCCAGCTTTGCATTGCGCAAGATTGAAGGTATGTGGATGCATCCTTCCCGCAGCGGCCATATTTCCAAAGTCGTTATGGCATGAACCAATATCGTGGATGTTTCAATGCTAGTGCCTGTCTGATGTTTCAAGCGCACCGCCACGCATACGCCAAGCCGGTCATATGGCATCGGTGCGCTTGTCAATACCAGATCTGGCGTTCTTCATACAGTTTCGTACGACGCGAGGTTGCATTGGGTTGCGTCCGATGTCTTGGACGTGGGGAGGAGCGGAAACGCAGGGAGGATGAAACATCTGACAAGGCTGGAATCGGTAGCGAACGCCACACCTGTTTTTAGCGTCTCCAGCCACGCAAACACGTTTTTTCATGGATGACGGCTAAATTTCCCCACGCATCAGAGCAGCACAGAAAAGACGAATTTTGTGGGGGAATTTAACCGTCTTGTCAACAAGAGTTGCGCAACACCAAAAAACTAGAAATACCATGATGATCAGGTCGGTGTCATCCCGAAGTTTGCCCAGTCTTGACATACGCTACACCCTGGAAACGCCCACTTCTCCTGCAATTTACACGTCTCCACCTATCCACGCATCAAAAGCGGTCACCATCAGGGGATCAAGTTCGCTCCGGAGCGTCTCTTGTATGCATGTCTAGCGCTTTTTTCCTACATAGCTTTTTTCTTTGGACGTCCTTCACGTGCACCCACTCTCTTCCCTAGGTCGTCTCATCGGCGCATTCTTCCCCATGAGGTGTTGTTTCAGGTAAACAATCACATTTTTGCAAGCTCACAGCGGTGCGTGGCGATAGAGACGTGAAGTCTTGACACAACCACATTTTGCGACAACTGCACGTCACTGGTAGTGCTCACGTATGATGCAGCCTGCTAAGATATTGCATGACCCGTCTAGCTGCGCTGGCCACCTCGTGTTGTGCCAAACCATTGCTGTGTCACAACCTCCAACAATATCGTGCCTTACCTAAATGAAGAACCCTATCTTCAACCAGATCAACCTCTGCACTTTTGTCCTCTTCTAGGAGCACTATAGCTTCACTGTCCTTCAACATGTGGTTTTCTTCCGAGGGTTTGCGCGATGAATTCATTCGTAACTTTCAAAGGCAGCCGGCTCACCTCGCGACAATGGTGCAATGCGAGCAATCCTCACAGCCAGGTATTCATATGCCCTGTCCAAGAGCAGCACCGGAAAGAACGATGAAAGATCTGATGAACGAGCATGCTTCCCGCTCGCAGAGGTACTATGGTAATCAACAGTTACGACCAGACGTGCCAGTGTCTCCGCAGCCCACTGCTGAATACATAGCACGGCGATCACGGATGTTTAGACTCCGACATGATGAATTTACAAGAAGGGAACCCGGGTTGAGCCGACCCGGAGTTACATATCTGAAAGGCATTACGCCTGACTTGAACCACCCGCCGCCGTCGCAAAGTAACGCAATTAGCCACGCACAACGTCCTTATGACGACACTGATAGCCCTAGTCATGCTCGTATCAACGAACAACCTGGTGAAAGAGACATAGACATCCATTTGACGCGCGATGAAAGCAATGCCAGGGAGCAGAGCTTGAGGGAGGACTTCGAGGTGATAAAGTATGAGGATGACCTGACCGCAGACTTTGAAGAGGTTGACCGAGACATACCCACGGCCTTCAATGGAAAACCACCAAGATAAGAGTCGCAGTCATGGTATGGGTCGTTTTGTTTGTGAAAGGTGACGGAGAAAGCGATACGACATGGTTTATTCGCCGGCTAGAGCTCGTATTGATAAAGTAACAATTTTCAGGGTAAGTAAATGATACATGGACTTTATGCGGTCACTAGTTGAGGTTTTGGTGACATGAAATTCATATCGTGATCGATAATCCAATCACCAGGGCAACAGTACACCACGACCAGGGTTATTCACTCACAATATTCATGTCTATTGCAGCTGCCTACTTTCCCGAGAGTTCTTTTCTCCCCTGCACATTGCACTCCATCAACTACCTTGTGTAGATCAAAGAACCAAATTTCTTTCTCATCACAAAGTTACAGGTTCAACTCGCGTCCACTACTAACTCCACTATATTGAACATTATACCAAAATGGCAGATTCAGATCCAACTTGGCACCCACCACAGATTTCAGACGTCCGCCACCTACGAGAACGAGGACGCGCACGAGGTCAAGTTCAAGTATCTGCTCCACGAACGCCTCAAGGCCATAAAGCTGGTCATAATTTGGCGACTCAGGATCGACAGCGAAGCAGTGACCCTTTTCGCTATGAGACGCAGAGCACCCTGTATTGGGATGACGCCAACGGTGCTATCCACAACACTCCCAGTGCCCTGTCTCGGAACTCAGCACCGCCTCATGCCCAGACCATGAGTGGAGAAACACGTGAGACAAACTATCGAGAGCTGAACACCCCGATTCAAGTCCCGCCTCGAGCTGCGTTCAATAATCCTTATCTCGACATCGTTGGCGATGGACCATATGGACGTAACCAAGCGATGTATACAGCAGCTGGTATGGCTGAGGCCGAATATATAGGAGAGAGGACCAGAAGGAGAGATTTCACTCCGTACTTTGATGCAGCAGACGCAAGGAATAGTATGGATCTATGCAGCTCGGACAAAGAAGGGTTCCGTCATGCTCTCGCGAAGAAAGACATGAATCAGAAACTGTGCCAGAATACAATAGAAACTATGAAAGCAGCTACTGCAAAGCGCGTTACGGGGCATACCGGGAGGACGAGCGAGCCGAGAGTTCCTCTTAGAGCTTCTCACGAGACACGGCACCCTACTACGTTCAAGTTCAAATCGAAGTTTGCGATTCCAGCATCACCAAAGACACCAAGAGCGATAGCAGTCCCTGCAAGCAGACCGGTAAGCTATCAGTGGCCTGACACACTGTCCCCGGTCCTCGAAGCACCCTCACCTCTGAAAATCTCCTCTGATAACCAGCCGAACACTCTATCTAAACACGAACGCACATCCACACTGGAACGCATACTCAATCTACGTGCCGAAGAACAAGCAAAAGCCCTCGCACGGCTCCAAGGCGAGCTCTATAAGCCCAGCCAGACCAAGGTAACCAAGCAGCAAGCGCCGGACGCACTTAGCCATGGTAAAAGTGGTTCCGAAAGCCAGCGTATAGCTCATTTTGACCGGTATGAAAACAAACAGCAAGTCTTTGAGTTCATCGTCTCACCAGTATCTCCGGAGAGTCAGAGGTGGAAAGATATTTGCACAATTCCTGATGTAGTTGCTCCAGCTAAGACAGCTAGTGCGGGTAGTAGTGTGTACAGCGGCGACGATAACACTCAAGAAGACGAGATTGACAGACTATCAAAGGCCATAGTAGGGCTACAAACATTCCAAAACCTACCTCCCTTGTCGTCGAAAAAGGCTGAGTTCCAGAGGAACAGCGCAGTGCCTGAGGGTTTGGATATGGGTAAGATTGGAGCATGCAAAGAGGAATCGAACAACGGAAACGAATTGCAACAAGTACCCCGAGAGAAGAGCTTGGAGGAAGCACAAATAGGGTTATTGGAGTACTTCAATGCCCCCCTTGAGGCAATTGGGACAGATAAGGCGGACGCGCAGACGCCACAGACGAGCTCGTCTCAAAAGTCCTTTACGACGGCGTCAACAGGAGATTATGAGCGGGTCGGATCACAAGAGGGGCTTGGACAGGAGCAAAATGGCGTAAAGAGGCGGTGGTATAGGAGCTTTCGGAAGGTTTGAGTGCAAGGTTATAAGTTAACAAAAACTCATATAGCGGAGAGGTCAGTTCCTCTTTGAGTCGAAAAGTCAGTTTGGATCATATCAACCTTGTTTAGGGTGAATTTTCTGGATAAGACTTTCAGCTATGGCGTGTTGAACTAGCATGAAAACGACAATGCAGTCCTTGAGCTTATGGAAACCATACTCGCCATGTGAAAAAGTGCAAGGTATCATGTCAAGCGCTTTTGTCTCTTTCATTCATCTCTGACAGATCCTAGTGGTGCGTGATGATGCCGTGAGCTATGACATATGATCCCAGGGCCGCGGTATGTATCTGACAATTCTACTCATTGAGTAAAGGCAGGCAAAAATCCACCGAAAACCAGGATACCAGTGCGACAACCATAGTACCATTCTCTGTTCTCCATTCTCCATCATCATGGGGTTCAAGGTTGAGGCGCGCCGGCGAAGGCCGAGGTTCAGCTCCGCCTGGCCTGTGCTCCTTTCCCCGCAAAGCGACTCTCCAAGCAGAGCAACTCCACGACTGAGAGCAAGCGAGTCATCAAGATGCGCGTCCCGAAGCTGATGTTTATATCGCAAGCTTCTAGCTTTCTCTGCGCTGCTGTCAAGAGACATCCAAATCGCTGACACAGCACCGAGCCATCATCAGCAGCCTCCGCCAACCATACCCTTTGAGGGAGACTACGCAATGTCGCTGTCGCACACGATGAACTTCTCGATTCCCGATGACTTGAAGCAATATCTCGCCGACCTTGACAAGTTTATCGACGACAAGATTACTCCTCTTCAACACAAAGACGACAATAACCGCTTCTTCGATCACCGCCGCGAACACGCTCGAACCGATTGGGACAACGGCGGGCTCCCGCGCAAGGAGTGGGAGGAGTTATTGGCAGAGTCGAGGAGACTGGCTGATGAAGCTGGTTTCTACAGGTTGTCGCTGCCGAAACAGTACGGCGGACAAAACAGTGCCGATGGGCGAGGAAGCAACCTCTGGATGGCCGTGATCCGGGAGCATCTCGCGGCAAAGGGATTGGGTCTGTTCAACGACTTGCAGACGGAGCATTCGATGGTCGGAAACTTCCCCGATGTCATCATGCTCATGAACTTTGGCAATGAGCAGCAGAAGAGGGACTTTATACCACTGCGGCTGGAGGGCAAGTTTAGGATGACGTTCGGTTTGACGGAGCCTGGTCATGGCTCAGACGCGACACACATGGCAACCAAGGGGCGACCGGAGACGAGAGACGGTGTGAAGGGATGGTTGCTGAACGGCTATAAACGATGGCAGACTGGGATGCACCACGCGACACATTGCTCCGTCTTTGCGCGGACATCAGGAAAGGACGGCGAGATAAAGGGCATCTCGTGCTTCGTGGTACCCGTCGATACGCCGGGTTTGAAGGCAGAGTCGTATGAATGGTACGTCATCAGTCTTACAGCAACAGAAGTCGCTTGCTAATGCTGCGCAGGACGCTCAACATGCCCACCGATCACGCGACCGTGTCCATCAAGGATGTCTGGGTACCCGAAACCGCCGCATTGGGTCCCATCCACAACGGCCTCGGCGTCGCGCAAGCCTTCGTCCACGAGAACCGCATTCGGCAAGCCGCCTCGTCGCTTGGTGCAGCCGTATACTGTGTCCAGCAGTCGGTCGAATACGCCAACGAACGCGCGCCCTTCGGCATCCCACTCTCGCACAACCAGGGTATACAATTCCCGCTTGTAGAACTTGCGACCCAATGCGAGATGCTGCGACAATTGATACGAAAGACTGCGCTAGAGATGGATTCGATGCCGCACAATGAGATTGAGAAGAAGATTGGCGATAAAGTCTCCATGTGTAACTACTACGCCAACAGGCTGTGTACGCAGGCGGCAGACCGCGCGATTCAGGTCCATGGCGGTAACGGGTACTCAAGGCACTACCCGTTCGAGCACATTTGGAGACATCATCGCCGATACAGAATCACTGAAGGTAGTGAAGAGATTCAAATGCGGAAGGTGGCCGCATATCTGTTTGGTTTCGGTGGGAGGAAGAGCCTGGTAGACGCTACAAAGGCCGAGTCGAAGCTGTAGACCTTTTTTCCAGATATAGCTCTAGTCATAGGAAACTACGAAGCCACTTGTTGAAACCAGGCATCGCGTCTTTTTCTGTGATTACGGGTAATAGTACCACGATCAGTAAAAACCACACGAACAACGCTGCCACCCACAAAAAGGTTGATCGAAGTGTAACACTCTTTGGCGGCAACGGCAATGGTTTTGACAGCGGCTCGTTCTTGAAAGCAGCTGCCCTTTCGGATTGCGGAACTGGTGGAAGTGGTTTTGACTGGTTTTGTAAATCCAATGGTCTAGGTGCGACGCGTCTGAGCGGTGCCTTTGGAACGTTCTCAGTCTTGAAGGTCTTTGGTGGTACAGGTGGTCCCTCATCTTGTGCATGCAATCTTCGATTGCGCAACCGTTGGTCGCTCAGTTCGACTCCAGACATGACCAGCTTTGAGAGAGGCTAAATGAATCCTGAGTGTTGAAGTAGTGATGTTGGGGAGGTCTTGGGAGCGTCAGAGGACAGACACTAGAAGGGGAGGGGGCCGGATATAGGCTATGCTCAATATAGCCTAGTGCATGGCCAACGAGATGCGAGCGGCATTATACTTCACACCCCTCAAGCATCGACTTGTCTCTCAATACACGAGCATCTCGCCCAATGGAGCGCCAAGTCATGGAGCACAGACTCGTCACGATTATAAGGCCCTCCAAACATCTTCCAACGCCAGTACTTAGAGCTATCTAGACACGATATCATTATACGTGACGAATTCAAAGTTGATCTTGGAACATCAATACAACCAAGGTAATGCTCCACCGTACAGCTAATACCCCGTTGCTATCATTTTCGGTGTGAGTATGGACAAGGAGTATCTGTTCCAGCTCTCGCGTCATCCAATGGTGGCGAGAGGCGACTCGCTGGACACTTGATATTGCGAATTGTCGTTGGTGGTCAGTTCGTCAAGCCATATGCCTTTCTTCCAATTTCTTCCTACAACACTTTTTCGGTGAATGATTGCGGTCTTCTTGTCTACATTTCTTCCTCTGCGATTCATTTGTCAGCTTTGCATTGAAGGTCTGGTAATCTTCCTGGTCTTTCATCCACTTAGTTACCTTCGCGAGAGCATGAAGCTTGTTCTGCCCCTCTGTTAGTACCTTTCTAATCATGCTATTCTGCATCGAAACTGGGTTTCCCTCCACGGAAGTCTTCTCTGTAGGAACCTCTGATAGGGTCCCGTCGATTTCCAGACTAGCGCGATTGGTACATGGACTATCGCAAATGTTGCACTCTCCTTCGTGCTGTTCGTTGCCATTACTACTGCGCAGCCCAAATTCAATGTCTTCTCCCGGTCCAGACAAAAGACCATGCACTTTAATCAGGACTTTTGTCTGATGCGAAGGCCCACTGAGCGGAAGATGGCTCGTATGAACATAGCCCTCGAGCTGTTGTGTCTGAATGCTCTTTTTTTCGCCGCCGTCTACACTCTCCAGAACGCAGGAATCTGTGATTTTGCTTAGACCCGCAGACTCAGTTGATGCATCACTTCTGTTAACAAAGTAGTCGACTGCATTCTCTGCAACTGCCGCAACAGAACAAAGTAGTAAGTAGCCATGCGCTTCATATGGCGTCGGGTTAGGTGAAAGCATCTGACTATACTTTTGCATTGAGAAATAGTCGCTACTCGACGCAGTCCTACCATCATTACGGCAGTCGCGAAGTTCCTCGACAGGTGTGAATGTGTGCATAGCTATGCACCCATGAAAGGTCTTGGGCGTGCAATCTGACCATCTCGAAGGACTGAATGTGTACTCGCGGTCTAGTGTAGGCCGAGCTAGTCGTGAGAGCGAAATATGTAGTGGTGAGTTCTTTGGTGAAGACGATGGTGTCGATGCGGCCGACATATTCGCTTGTAGGTGTGTGGTTGTGAGGATTAGGAGAACCAACAAAGAGGACGCAGGTCTTTGTACGGCCATTTGTGCTGACAAACACGTCATTTCGACATGTTCATGTCACCATGTGCCTAGCATTCCATAGCTGCATTGCGTCCTCACCAGCGTTGTGATAAATGCTATGCCGCTTCAAGAAAGACGCGTTGTCCAACGTTGCACATTCATATCAACTGAATCTGTCAATATGCGCATTGTTCACTGCTCCGCGTTCTCGCTCGTTATCCATATCGCACTTTTGGGTACCCTGACTGCACGCTTCACTCTCTGAAACTCTATTTCCCGCCTTGCTGACGTGTGTCGTCATTTCACTTCCACAAAGCCCGCTGGTAAAATTGTTTCCTACAGTATCAAATCCTACCTCTTCACGATGTTCTCAAACAACCATAGCAGGACTACACGTGATTGTCGTTTATCTCAACCATGACCGGTTCCGATCAATCAATGCCAAACGTACCTCCAGGTATCGACCCCGAGGTCCAAGCAAGAATCGATACACTACTCGCGCAGCATCTGACAGCGAACAGTAATAGCAATATTGCTGGGGAAATTAGGAATAATGGTGGTATTGGTTCATGTGTTGGCGTCTCAACCACAGCGCTAACGGACATCCTTGATGGTCATACCAACAATTCCACGGAATCACCAACTAGCCAACCTATTGTAAACGTGTTTCAGCCGAGGGTCAAGATAGACAAAGACAACGATGCAGGCATTCGGTATGAAGGTGTGCCCCGAGCTGGACCGCCACTCTCACCTCAACATGCCGTCCTACACCTCAGTGACAGATCCGAAGCCAGTCGAAGCAATACACCACCATATCAAGTCGTTACGGGTGCTTTTCCGCTTACACAATCTATTTCTGTCCTACCGCTACCGCCTCCTAACACTTCACCACCGCAGGCCACTCTTTTCAAGCGAACCATATCCTACATCGGCAACTATTTTTCCGCCTCACCTGAGATCATCGAGTACTCTGACGCAGAGATCAAAACGAAAACTCAAGTCTGTGTCAAGGCGCAAAAACGGTTTGTGTCGAATGTACCAACCCAGGACCTGGTTGTCAAGGTTGCAGCTGTTCTCATTGAGATGAGCCCGACTGGTGCGAATTCGGGAGACTATGGACTTGTAGAAAGACCTGTAGAGATTCTGGCGAAGCACAAGCGCGTCAGGGAGATCAAGAGAGGATTAGGATGCTTTGTTGTGGAGGATGTATATAGGAAGGAGATCAGAGTCGCTTTGGCGAGGTTGAACAGATAGAGGATATGGCATCACTGCGTGGAAACCATTCAATGGTACCAGACACTGCAATGAACTATGACTAGACGTCGCTCACAGTCCTCGGATCCAATTCTTCTGCTTGACATGATGTCAATTCCTGCGTGGCAGGACATCTTATGTGGTGGGTTGTTTTTCCATCCGAACCGTCAGCATCAGCCTAATTAAAGTAACCGCACAAATTCAAGCGCTATGCGATTTCGTTCTATACCTGTTGTTGTTTGGGTACGATAGCCTCCGACTGAGGCAAATGAGGTGTTGGACGTGCTGTTGGACGTTCTGTTATAGGGACTATCGACCCTCCACTTAGTACCCTCTGTTTTCAAGCGCCAGCACAACCCTATTAGATTTCTAGGGACATGGGGAGATTTCAGTTTTTGAAGGTCATTCTGGTACGCTCTGCAGGTCGATTTAGGCTGCTGGGTGTGAGTTCCAGCAGGTTCCCCGCACGCAGAACCAACCTGGCAGCTCGCCAAATCACGTCTGGTAGAACACCAAGCTTCAGCTGTACTTTGCATACAGTAGCGTAAAGGCCTCGGCACTATGCCTATTGATTCGATGGACGTGTTGATCACAAGAGGTAAGCACAACATCGTCCAATTACACTGTATCGTATCGAGGTAGAAGTGTATTCCCAAACACTTCCAAGGCTGGCTTCACTGTATGCAGGGGCCGGAACTACACCTATAGCAGAGACTGTTAAGAATATTTGTGGTGCATTCTGACCCATGCTCTTAGCTACCTAGAGTCGTACGTTCCACTGTTCGGAAATATGGGCTGTCGGATTCTTGTAGGCGCAGTGATGAGGCTACTGTTTATACAGTTTTGGCAATGCATGGATCTCTCATGACGAGCTAATCAGTATTCACTATGAGTATTGGCTGATGTAAAGCAGTCCGTTGATGTAGGACAAGGCTATAGGCTATCACACTACGTGGACGTGTTGGCTCCAAGTCCAAGGTTCTGAGCTCTTCAATGCATGATTGTAACTTGGTCGCATGCAGGTGCCAGGTGAGTTTGGTCCTTCCTAGTAGTGACAGATATGGTGCGTGTATCTCGTTTGTCGGAGCGCATAGTTTGCGATAAAGCCGTTTGATGCTGTCAGAAGATCAAATGACCATCACTTTATCTTGAATTCGCGCTGTCAAAGAGCTTCGCCAAATCATAGTTCTATCTTTCTCTCTAGGCGAGTGTGCGGTCCTCACAACTGTACTTGGATATTGCTTGAGGCGTCATCCGATTCTCGATGAGTTTCCACGGCTACATCGCGGAGCGATTTCTTAGCGATATTGACACTTTCACATCTGAACAGCAATATCGCATACTGTACGATCTGCCAGATGGCCGGTATGTCGCACCTGAAGTCAAGTACAGGATGTTCTGCAAAGGTGAAAAGGCATCGGAAGCCTTGAAGCATGTGCGCCGGCTCTTGCCCATGCCCTTCAGTCCAAGTACACTATCACAAAAATTGTACAAGGAGCCAAGCTTGATCGATCATGAGCGATGGGACGAGGCTAGAAGGAAGGCTCGAGAGGAGCTCCAAAGCCGGGGTGTGTGGACTCGGTTGGGAGGAAAGCCGAAAGCTAACAGACATCTTAGGGGCGTATCTACCTTGCGATTACATGTTTGGTGAGCGACCCCAAATGGTGATGGCGGAGTCTTCTGATGGAGGTGAAACAATCCGGCCGGCTGCTATCAACGAGTGCAAGTCTTTGCAAGTGGCTGGATGTGCAAGAGAAGACAAGTCTCTATTAATAGCTGAACAGGGTCAGATCGGTATCTCTGAACAGAACCATGGGGCCGAAATACGGCAATTGCTTTTTGACTTTGGCAAGGCTATGGGAAGACTATTAGCGAAATTATCGACGTGCAGATGAGCTTATACAGCAGACGTTGGCGATATCCTAAGCATCTTCTGTTGATCAACAAAATAATGCAATTTTGGAGAGTAACCGAATGTCCCACGAGTGGTGTCCTCCGAAGAACTGCATCCCGAGACGCGTCCTGATGCAGATGGTGCGGGTGATGCGGGGCGACAAACCCGCAGATGGATACACTGTGGCGGTCCAGCCCTGGAAGCGATTTCAACCGGTAAGCATCCAAATCGGTCGCCTTGCTGCATCTTCAGTCTTGGCTGATAGATGCGAAGAGTTAAATAGATATGAAGAGGTTGAAGGTGCTTCTTCTACACCACAGAGGACATTCGACCCCACTCTTCCTCTTGGCACGCTGGTGCACCAAGATAACATCTGCATTCATGACTTCACTTACGACGTCCACCAGCGAGGCTGCAGCTGCGCCACCTTGCATTGGTATTGCGTCCCTTGTCAGTACGAAACTCCCGTCACAAAGCAAGATTCTGCCGAATGCGCTCGGCGTGAAAGCAAAAGTGACGCGTCGCCGGGGTAGGCGCGATGAACCTTTCAGGCTTCATTTCGTTACAGCGACGGATCCCTCACAATTCAAAGATGGAGATGCTAGGCGTAGTGTCCGCTCCCAGGCGATGAGGTATCATAGAAACAAGCCAAACAAAGGAAAGCCGACCTCTGCGAAACGGCCCGAAAAGGTACTGGCCCCTTACACTAGGCCGACGATCGCCGGACAGGCTAGGCCTGCGAATACCAAGGCACACTCATCTACCCCAACTCCAGTGCCCAGTGCGTTTGGGGCGCTTGTTCGTTATACAAACAAGCAGTCAGCCGATATCCTTGCATCAACAAGGACAAGGTCGCTCAAAGATGCAAGCGAGATTTCCCCCCGGGGTGCTGCATCTGATGGCGATCAATTACCTCGACCAAGCGGCGACATGCGCTTTCGAAACTCTCATTCCAGGGTATGCAGGAAGATAGTGGAATACGAATACACCGAGAGCCAGGACGGAAGCAAGATACGCTTACTAGCGACCACTTTCTGCCAGATTGGGGATGGGGTTGATCCTTTCAGGGTACTGCCTCAATTCGAGAACCCTAGGTTGGATAGCGTGTTCCTTCTGCGCAACTGTCAGTATGCACCATCTCTTTGATAATTCCTCCAATAATCTCAGCATCGTACTTAATGCGTTTAGGTATGCGGGCGTTTGGCACAGAAGCCTATGTCGAGAGATGGGTGCCTGCAATGATGTCCCATCCCCACGTCCTCCTGAGTACGGTATTCCTAGTTAGCAACTGGCTTGACATGCTCGCGGGACTTCCAGGCGACAGTACAAGAACCGGATTCGTTCGTGATGAGATCATGGGCATGGTAAGTGAGCGGATTCGAAACCCTCACATGTATGACACCGCGTCGACCATCATCATCATAGTGCACCTGTTGGCCGGAGAGATATGGAGGTGCGACGAAAGCATACTGCGGTTTCACGTATCCGGCATCGCAAAACTGATCGCTCTTTGTGGTGGCATGGTCAATTTTGAGAAGGCGTACGTCGCAGAACTCTCCGCATCGTAGGTTTTCCATCGCTCGACGAGGATACAATCTGATGCCGCTTCCAGGTGTTGCTTTCAATGCGATCTTGTCTGCGAAGCCAAGCCACTATCAACACTCATATCATGGCAACCACCGGATTACACTGCAGACGACGATATCGCGATACCAGAATCGCCATTGTTTTGTCCTAGAGTCGACTTCATGACTGTGCCTAACGACGAGCGCTGCTCACCTTCCACGTGTAATCTACTACGAGATATGCGTGACTTGACTGAACTTTTCATATCGAAAAACGCCGCGAATGAGGTTGAAAGGGATCTTGCAGATGTATCGGCTGCTTACCTGAGCTCTACTGGTCTCGACTACAGCACGAAGGTGGCTAGAATACGCGAACGATTGACACTCCTCCCTTCAGCCGATCTTCCGGGTCATCAGGGCACTGGCGATTGGGTCTATGAGGCATGTCGCCTCACTGCGATGATCTACACTGCGTCCATCGTCTGCAGCTTGCCCTTATCCATGGCTGCTCATCCCAGCCAAAACGTATTATGGGCCGAAGCTGAATCTCTCAGAGAGCCACATGACAGGCAGATCGTGCTCACAACCCATCTCAGCGAATTGCTGCTGCAGGCACTGGAGCGCACCGATCTTGCCAATGTGTGGAATGGCATGGCTGGTGTTTTATATTGGATAACCACTGTTGGTGCGGCTGCAGCCCGCACGCCCATCATTCCTACCATGTTGCAGCAGCCTCTGTACAGCAAACCGTGTAAACCTCGGGTACGGCAGTGTCTGGCCATGTATTCGATGCGTGCGTTTGTCTTGTTAGGTTTCAAACATCAGATGCCTATCTTGCTGTCGCAGAAGAGGCTCTTCAGAGTACAAGAACTCATCGGAACATACGGCTAATACCTGGAAACGGCAAGTCGACCTTTCAAACCTCGAGTGGAGTTCAAAAACAGCCATGTCTATAGCTACTGGTATTGAGACAAAGTCTCGGGGCAGCACCGATGATTCACGATGATCGTCCAAAGCCACAAGCTGACCGCTGACTAAACGACGTTTGCTGATGCACACTTGATCAGTCGTACAAACCGAAGAAGCAATCTTGATAATCTTGTCGCATGCGACTAGTCAATCTCCAATCGATCATGTCACGGCGTATGACAGCCTTCCACGCATCGTCCGGGGTGTTTTCGTTGCGGGATGTGCGACTGACCGCATCTTGTGGCTCTCCCACTCCGTGCCCATCGTGCAAGACCGATTTGAAGCCGCCGGGCCTTTCGGGTTGCGAACATCCGCAAGATCCGCTCACGATGCTTTTTCGCAGTTCGAGAACACGCGCTTCAGATTGCGGACAAAAACTCAATCCTTTGCGCAAAATTTCATTGGTAGTGTTGGAAAATCTTCGTTGCTTACCGCTGCGGGTGTGGGTCGCGAGAGAGCTACCCTGTGCCTGCATCCAGTGGGGAGGTAGCTCAACTGCTAAGCTTCGAAGGTTCTCATCTTATCTCAACACCCTATGACGTCGCCGAGCTCGCCTGGAATGCCTGCCAAGCACGGTCGTTCATTTTGCATTGAAACACGAGAAAGGGTAATTCGCTGTGGCCGTTCCGGCGCCTTATTCCAGCCCGTTCTCGCGCGTAAATGCATCATTGAAGGGTCCGTGCGCCAAGACCCTCTTCGTCCCGCCGTTGTCCGATGCTCCGCTGGCCACGATGCTCGTCCTGCAGGACAGAAAGAGTCTCAAGGCGAGTGGAGCCAAAGTTTGAATCGACGTGTGGGGTCGCAAGGATGTCAAGATCTGCACAATGGAAATCACGTTCAGATCTGACTGGCGACATTGGACTGCCAGGATGTTTGAGACAGCATTCGACAGCGCACTTCTGTCTAGGAAACCAAACATCCAGACGCTTCGATTGTACACTTTTTGCAACCCTGAAGAGACACCGAGACACGTGCATGTTTGTTTGTCACTCGGCGGTCAGCCTGTTGTCTTTGGGAGATGATGACTGCCTCGTTCGCTCCACATCTCTGACAAATGGTGCGAACCACAGGAAAGCCTGATTCGCGCTGATGGATGACTCCTGACAGTCAGGGATCGTCTTGATGAAGGAAGCGGCAGCCAGGTCGTCCGAAAGCGCATTCCTGGGATTAGTTGCAGCTTCCCTGCAATCCGATTGGGCGACAAGACTACCCTCCTGTCAGAATGGCCAGGGTCTAACGGCCTACTAACAACAAGCGACATTTTGTATAAAGTACAACGCCCGCCAAATCCATAATGCAGACCAAGGATATTATCGCAGTTTGTGTTGTACTTGGACTTGTTTTCGTCGCAGCCATGGCACTCGTTACACGATTCTTCCTGCAGCACAAGCAGGCTAAAACCACAACAACAACTGACATGTTTACCACGGACGGCAAGACAGAGGGACAGCTTCAGCTCACACATATATCGAGCTCGTGGAAAAGATTGTTACTCCCAAAGCAAGATTCAAGCAAACGCTATTGGGTGCCAAACCTATCGGGCATCATAAAAGCCGGGGATGAGGGATTGTTTTTCTCCGCGTTATTTACCAACCTCCAAGGTCATCCTGGACAACTACCCCTCGAAAACCTGTACGATGCATTTGCAACCGAATTGCGCTCCCGACCAATCTCGGAGCGATCGTCATATACCGGAGACATGACAAAATTCCTTGGGCGAGCAAAGAAGCCCGTGGGGGGCCTTGGGCGGTCGAAATCGATGTCCAACGTCAAGCGAGGAGAGTCTAGCCCCAAGACTGCTAGAAAGAGCCTGGATCTGTCAGTGGTTGAGATGGGTTTGGCTAGAAGCCTATCTGTGAAGAGGCCGGCAACTGCATTAGTACCAATGCGAAGTGGGCTGCGCGATGACGATGCCCAGAAAGCTACACAAAGGTCTTGGATGAAGGAGGGCCAGACAGCAAAGTATGAGGATGGAAGGATGAGTGTGAAGATTACCTCTGGGGAGCTTGCAGCGCTATCCATAATACTCGGAAGTCAACTGAGTACTGGATCCGACACGGACGCCTTGCTTGAACCCAGTGCATACGGCATCTCGATAGCTATTACGCCAATGACAGACGCCAAACACCAAGTCACGCTCACACAACAAAGACGCAGCAGGTCGCAACGGCACGCCTCAGGCTCAGGCGTTTCAACGCTCTTTGCAAAGCACCTCGCAGCCGGCTCCCTCCCATACTCGCAAGATAAGATTGGCGTTCACAGCATCCTCATCACCGACGAAGCTTTCGAGGCACTGCAAGCAGGCGCCTCTCTCTACACTCACCCATATGTCGCACGAACAGCACAATCCAAATTCCTCGCCTCTCTTCCTAGTTCGCGCGAACCCAGATTCCACATCCTCGCCACGTCAACCGAAGTCCACACGTCAAACACACTGTTAGACGCCATAGCAGCACTCCCCTTCTCTGGCGGCCTGGCCCCCCTCGCATCAGCGCCACTGATCAGAACGGTCCAATTCATCGCATCCGCGGGCCTCCCTCACGCCCGCCTACTGCAGCGCCTAGAGCAACTCATTGACAAAGTGCACCGCCACGCTCCGCACCTGAACATCTTCGGACCCCTCTACGAGCCCCAAAACGCCGGCCTCCTGTTCCGCGAGCGCGAACGTCTTGGCAGATTGGCCAGCGATCCAACGACGCCCGACACCCTCGCCGACAAGACAGCGCGTGTGTCGCGGTACACGACGCTGCTCGAACGTCTGATGGCCTTGGTCCCGGATCTCAAATCGCAGGATGTCCTGGCAGCAGTGCAAGAAGCGGCCAGAGCCGAGATACGATCTGCATACCAGGCTGCTGTTGCTAGTCACTCTTCGTCTGCTGCTGCGCGCAGGAAGAGCAGCGTCGAGACTATTACTTCTCCTGTATCGGTGGTATCTGATTCTCCCGATATACCTGCCAAGTCAGCGAAACGCACATCTACCTCTTCTTCGCGGCGTAGTCCCAGGAGGCAGTCGAATCGCTCGAGCGCATTCTCCGAGATTATGGAGACGAGTCTGCTGTCGCCGTTTCCAGTAGAGGAGGAGAGCGGCGGCAGCAAAGAAAGGAGTCTGGCGAAACAGGTTGAGCAGGTGCTGAAGGCTGAGCTGCCGTTGAGTGTGGAGACGGTGGCTTTTGTGGCGAGGATGGTGGTTGTGGCGTGGTGTGTTAGTGTGCAGACTGTGGCTTGGAGCGAGGGAGAAGCTGGGTTCAGGATACCAGACGTGGAAGCAATGGGCAAGTTTGTCATGGCATGATTTCATGGTTACGTACCGATGGATTGAGCATGTTGCACGTACGAACATTGGAGATGAGAGAGATAGGCTAGAGGCGTTTTGTTTTACTTTGCGATTTGGCTTTGGCATTTGGGACATGTTAACGAGATACCATTCACACTTTTTCTTTTTAAAGTCCAGTAGAGATAACAATATTTGTTGTACAGCAACCTTAATCATCGATCTGTATACATATTTCCATGTTATCGATGAACAGCGATTGAAACATGCGACAAAGCCCAAGTTACCCATTCCAAGGCCCTCAGATCCGAGTCGTTCCGCCATATTGTCACTCTCATCGCGCCCCGCCGCGTACATCTTGAACCACGAGATCGCGAAGATGCCACGATCACGAGATACATGTCTTGTCACCGTCATCATAATCATCAGTCCCTATTCAAGGAATGATGTTCCCAAGACACGATGAGGGCTATTTGCGAGATGGGGCGCCCGGAGACGGCAACGGCTAACATCCGGACATCCGGGGTGTGTGTGGGCTAGAAATGGGATCTGCATACTGCAAGGAAGCCGACCGAGGGAAGTCTTTTGTCCGAATCGAACGCGCGGACCCGCTCGGGACCCGAATTGAGCGAAGCAAAGGGGGAAACGGGAAGATAGAATGTCGCGCCGGCTTTTCTAAGTAACGATGTAGGCCCTGACTCCCCTGTTGTGTGCATCACATGGGCCTTTCTTTCCAATGTGGGTTTTTGCCGAATTTACTTACTTACCTACCTACCTACCTACCTTTCTCGGGAACCATGCTTCAAAATTTGGCTCTAGACAGGAAGATGAAGAGTAAAAGTCTGGATATTAAACCATATCTCTACCTGAGAAGTTGGGAAAGAAAGAAAGAAGTAATGACAATCCATCTATCCCGTCCCCAAGTTCATCTCCAATGTCTACATATATATGCCAAGTTCCGTTCGTTAATCCTCGTGCAATGCATAACAAAAATCAGCAAGTAACCAAAGGAAGAAGAAGAAGAGAATCTACAATAAAAATCATAACCATAAACCTCACTTTACTCTTGTGGCCCCATAATCTCCAACCCCCGACAAACGCCCACCCAACCCTCCCCCATCCCCCTCTCCTTTACACAACCCCCAACCCACCCACCCCCCTAGACACCTCTAATCCCGCCTTCGCCTTAAAAAAAAAA